ATAATGTGCTTACATATTACCTCAATTACTGTAACGGGTAAAGTAAACTCACTATATATACCCAGGATTTATCGGGATTAACTATACACAATGCCAGTAGAAGAGGATGAACATTTAAAACATTACTTATTGTATGGGTACTAAGAAGGACAATGACATTCAAAGTATATAAATTCTGTCTAAGAAATCCAAATAATTCTCCACCTGTGGAAGGAACCATGGCTGTTTCCATGGAACCTTGTATGAAAAGGAATGTTTATAATAATCTTACGAATATCGACGTATTCATCACAGTTTATTCATCCTGAATTTTATAAATTTTCAAAGTGGAAGATACATTTCTAAACTTAGAAAAAAGGTGAAAAAATTAAATTTTGAAGAAGTTTTATACCAATCGTATTTCATTTGCATTTGTTAACATTAAAGAGGTCTGGATGATTTCCAAAAAATATAGAATTCAAGAACCGTAAGTGAAAGTTGCTTTAAATAAACTTCATATAATATAATATTTTTTGCCCAATCAAAAAAAGCATTTTTTCACACCCCAAAACAGATTTCAAAGGAACAAAAAGGAGTATGTGCTTTTAATTTTGTTTTTCCTCAAAATGATTTTTCTGACAAAATATCTTTGAAAGTAGTATGAAAGGTTTTGAAGAATGAAGAATTCCCCACATATTTGTCGTGAACAACTTTTAAATTTTAATATTGAGAAAGAGAAAAAATAATGGATGTACGAATGAAACTGTGAAACAAAATGCGATCTTTTAAGGAGGAAGAGATCACATCGTAAAATTATTATCAATTACAATTAAAACTGTTACCAGAATAATTACAAGTTTGCAATCCCTTGCTGTCAAAAAAGCCTACCTGGACCAAGGATGTATAGATAATGAATCATATTGTCTCTTTATCAAACTTTCTTAAGATTCTGAATGTATCTTACTACTAAAAACAGGGATATTGGTAAATAACTATAAGGCCCTCTTGGGCCAAAATTGCTCTCAGTCTTGTTTCAGATGCTGGGATCTGTCCATGTCTAATTTAAAATAAAAAGAAAATCTCTATCTTGACCAATCTTGTAAGGATGATGCGTATGTGGATACACACTACAATATTTTATTCTGATGCTGGACATGTCGTGTTCATCTGAAGCAGGTCCATTACAATATAAATACAAGCTATGCCTACACCAGAGTTACATAGATGAAACATCTAGAGATAATTACTACCAACTAATATGCCTCAGATGCAACATTTGACTTATCCGTATGATTGTGACCTATATTTTAAACACACTTGAAGCACTGAAGATTTTGGGGGACATTTTCAATCAAATTTGAAATCAATCTTTTCCAAACAAAACTTACATGGCTGAAATATAAAGATATGAGCACAATAAAACAAAAAACCGTGGAGAGACATTTCCTTCACTTCTCGATAGCATTCGAACATTTGCCGAGGGGAGGTAAGCTTTAAATACCTATGTTTAAGTTTAGTATGATTGAAATATTTACATCAATAACAAGTTTTTTAAATGTATAATTTCAGGAATAAAGTTTATTTTAACCTATGTTATATGATACATCATAACTTAGGACTGTTTACACTTTACATAATCTCATAATTAAAAAAAAAACATATTTCTCTATCCACGTTCTTTTAACAACCTGGTGTTATTTTCAATTTCTGTGACAACTGTTTAAATATAGTACAATTTCATATTTTGTTGGAATGAATATCCGTTAAAAAACATTAAGTTTCAGATGTAATTTTTAAAAGGAGCATGAAGGAAAAGTATTCAAGCTCAGAAATCCATTAAACAATACAAATTTGGAGCAGAAGAAACAAAGACATCTGAACATCTAAGGTGATATCAGGTGCCATGGAGGAGTGAGTATCCCCTGCTGACCGGTCAAACTCGCCCTTTGTTCCTTGTCATGATTGGAAAATAATGGAAAAATCCGAGAACAATTCAGTCTGTATATAATGGCCTAACAATTAGTACGAAAAACGTCAGTCAGCATATGACTTAATGATAAATTGTATTTGCTGACGAGGTCATTGTAAAGACCATATAACATACGAACTGATGAATTCAAACGAGACTGCTGATATTCTTCTTCCAGAAATTTGTTTGTCAAGAATTTAACTCGTTTTAGAAATTGTTCATACAGCGTCTCGCGTATCGAATCAATTGAGAGATATAAACTCAGTATGCAGGAGACAAAGGTTCATTACTTCTGCATAAGTAAGGGAAGTTGTCGATTGTAAAGCAAGTCATCACGTTTATCATAAAGCTTGGTTGTTAGATTACCACTGATGTCTTTTTAATTAAAAGATCTAAATATTAATCAGATGTGTGAAACCCTGAGGTATCTTTTATTTCAAGCTCACCGAGATATATCGTATCGTCTAAAGAATGGAAATAACCATTGTTAATTGACAAAACGTCGTCGATATATCTGAGTTGAAGGCCACATCAAGTGTTTTCTTTTTTCCGCCTATAAGGTTTTAGACAAATTCTGTTTCATATGAATTCAAAAATAGGTCTGCTAATAACGGGCGCAATTGGTATCCATGGGAATTCCAATAGATTGTTGGAAGACCAGGTCTTCAAAAACCACAAAGATATTGTCAATCAGAAACTCAAGCATCTTTTTATAGCCACTTCAGAATAACTGTGTGTACAATAAGAATGTTTTTAGCAAAATAATTTTGCAAATGACCAATAACAAGGTAAGTAAACGAGTTCAGTATAGATAGAATTCAGTATAGATATGGTACTTCAAATTCCTTCTGGTTATTTGGAATATGAAAAATATTCAAAACTGACATATGATATTAAAGAATTTCCTGATTAGAAAGGGGACTATCCATAGATACAATGTAGTATTCTGGTTAAAAATTAGTTGTTTGCATGATAATGAGGAGATCTACATCTTCATTTCTTTGCATTCACACAAATCAAAAGCATATATTATAGTTTGTACAAAAAAAAAGAAATAGCAAATGCCTTTCAGTGCATAATTATTATAATTCATGAAAACATATTATCGAAATTGTACAATATAATTGTATGCAAGAGAAGAAAGATTTTTTCCTTTTATTAAATGTTTAAACAGAAATATTTTATTGTTTTAAACATTTTGGTATAACAGGTGACATTTTGTTATTAAAAATAAAATTAAAAAATGTGCATAAATGTTGTCCTTTTTACCCGTAAATATATCTACACAATCAAGATGACGCCTTCGAACAGCAGCTTCTTATAGTTAGCCTTAAACTTCAGATACATAGTGTACAATTTAGTGTCAACAAAACAATTAAAAAGGGAAATGCAATATATCATGGTCTAATAACATGTTTCTTAATTAATAATGTTCTGTTTTTTAGAAAATTAAATATTTTCTACCTTGCTTAGAAAAAAAAATTTATAAGCTTAACAATATTAATACTTCAGTAGATGACGAAATTCAATTGTTCTTTCATAAAACGCCTATACATCCATATCATTATTCATATATATTCTTTATCGCTTCATCCGTTTTTAATCTTCAATTCATGGACATTTATATAGCTTTCACAGTCCAAAGTATTTTATAAGTCTATTGATTGGACTAGAGAACGGTTTTAGAAAAAAGTTCCAATGCATCCGAATTCATACGAGATAAGAAAAAGAAGGCCTAAATTCTTACTTCGTCAAATATATACAAAAATAACAAGTTTCTTTTTCTTTTTTATAAAATTATTTATATCTACCAAAAAGAAAAACATTTTGAATGATTTTCATTTAAGTTGCAGTAAATTGGAGAACTAACTTCATTTTGTATATAACTAAGACTGGAACTGAATATTATCATTATGCTTATTCCAAAGAGGTTTTGATTGAAGTATATTTGCAAATATTGCAAAAAAAAAAAAATCACATTTCGATTTAAAATCAAATCATATATCAAAACAACTTTATTGAAATTTGGCAATAAGATAAGTCTAACAGTCTTTTGTTGGGGACCAGATAAAAGATTCCATATATTACTTGAAAGACTAATAGTGCTGCATTAGATACGAGGATCAAATTTAACATTAAAGAAAAATGCTTCTATAGGATATAATATATTTTTTTTAATAGAAAAAAGGACTGTTCAATCGAAATCAATCACTCTTTTCGATGAAATTACCATTTTTAAAATATAAATTTGAATTTAAAAATTGATATTTAAAATCAATGTTTTCGTCTCGATGTTCAAAGATATAGACATATTCATTAACAATACTAGTTCTTGAACATTTTTTTCTAATTCAAATAATTCTTTGTTAAGTGAATTTTAAATGTTTTAAAGTAATCACTCATGAAGTAATGTATGGTGCATAAATTTGAAGTGAAATTTTTGATAATATTTTTAGAATAGTATACAAGTAAGGGTGCTTTAAACTTTGATCTTTGTTAAATAAATATTGCCTTTAACACAAAGCCTTTGAAAGCTCATGTTAACCCCTTGCACAAAATCATAAATTCTCTGTGATTTGCATAATTTTAGCTTGAAATATATGGAGAAAATGAACATTATTCAAGCTTTAAAGCTTTTCAGAGTTACATTTACCCAATGCTGCAATGTTATATTACTCAAAAGATGACATGCTCTTAGATGCTTAAAAAAAGACCTATACTGTCGCTTAAAAATTCAATTACTGAGTTATGTGTCTGGTACAAAAAAATGAGAGAACACGTACATAAAGCACGCCTTCAACTTGTTTTTGATGAACAAATTCAATTAAGTTGGAGAAGAAATGTTGTGGACGTTGATAATTTACAGAGTATTCTTTGTCAGAGTACGCAATTCGTTTAGTAACATTTGTTTTCGTGTTTTTAAAAATATTGAAAATATTTTAAATGTATTACAGCAATATGAAATGATAATTTAAAAAAAAAACTTTCCATACTGCACACAAACTACAGCAATATGAAATGATAATTTAAAAAAAAAACTTTCCATACTGCACACAAACTCATTTTTTTTTTCAATCGTGCATGATAGTCAGGTTAAGCTCATTAAAGAACAAGCCCCGTAAAAGGTCCATACCGAATCTGCCTATAGAGCAGTGGAAGATCACTGATTACGAGAGTCACCAACACAAAAGTAATGATCCCCACGCCTAAGACAGACCCGATACCTCTTGCTGACTTCCTCTCGTCCTTGGCTGACGTCTTTGCTCTAACTGTTGCAGAGAGCTCTTTTTGATTAACTTCTAATTTTTTCTTCATTTCATCCAGTCTTTTCTTAAGAACTTCTGGATCCTTTATAAAATTTTGGGAGTTGACTCGACTACAGGGACACTTGCAGCCTATTTGAAGTATAAAAAAAAAACGCTTGTAAAAACATGCATATGTTGTGAGCAGAGATTTATATAAATGCACAAGAATTAATTTTTGCATGTAATTTTAAGTGTAACATTTTAAGTTATCTCAATGACTTACGTTTGCAGATTGGTTCCTCTCCTGACCAATCACCACTTGCGTTACAAACTCGACTGAGATGGCCACCAATGTGACGATGGTTTGGACGACAAGAGTATGACACATTGTATTCCTCAAAATAAAGTGGACATGGACTTGTGTCACGTACTGTAGTGCTGTTTTCATGAACAGGTTCTTGACAGGTAACTGGTGAGCACGAAAAAACAATTTTTACATAATGTACTTTGACAGGTGACTTTTTCGCATGTGTAAAAAGAATTTTTACTTGTATTTATTCATATTATTACCATTGCAAACAGGGCCTTCTGCAGACCATCTTCCCTCCTTTTCACATTGAATTGTGAGATTCCCTTCGGTGAGCACGTGTCGTTCCTCACACTCAAACACACGTGACTTTAGAAGCGCAGTAAACGAATCTCTGACGTCACATTCATATTGTAAATTGTGAACCAAATTGTGTTTTAGAATAGCATTTGTATAGTTTTCGTTAATGCAGTAATCTGTAAAATATAAAAATATTGTTGTTTTTATGAAAAAGTTCCCAGTTGTAAAGAAAAACATTGTTTATACATATTTACAAGCAATACTTTGCAGGATAATTATGCAATCACGTAGACCAAATACATACAAATTTTTATATTGTTTATGGTGTACAAAATTAAGCAAAATAATTTCAAAAATAAATCTTCCATGTTTATGATTTCAACATGTTTTTCTAATTAAGAGTTATTTCAAAGTATACGAGGGACGTTCAATAAATAATGTCATCAGCTTGATGACATACAACATAGAAATCATATGACATTAAGCTTGACTTTCTCTCATTATTGAATCTTTAATGAATTGATAACAGTTGATGTGACCACTTTTCATCGCATAATTTCATTGTGGGAAGCTAGAAAACAAGGGCTATTCAAGACACTGCATTAAAAATGAATGGTAAAGAATCAGTAAACTAGAGTAAAATTGAACGCGTCATTAAAGCTGCTGTAAAACTTGTTAATTTCCCAAAAGTAAATTTACTGAAATATGTGAAATTAACAGCAACTTATGTCTGTTTCATGCACACATGAACAGGTGGATTTCAATTAACAAAAATTAAACAATGGGCATCAAAAATGGGTACCGTCCTTGTCAACAAGGACATACAACAACCAATGTATATTAGCGAAAATTTAACATATTATAACTGATTATGTTTTATTGACTTCAAGACACATAGACATCACTTTGGGGGTAGTTCACACTGTTTTAAAGAAACATTTGATAGTAAAAAGTTTAATACTCAAAGGTCATCCTATATTTTCAAAAAATAAGTGAAAACGACAGCGTGTAGAAAATCTAAACAATTATTTTTTAAAAAATCACAAATTGAACTTATCCACGTTTGTCTGAAATTCAAATAGATCCTTAAACTTGAATCCATTTTGCGTTAAACCCTCAAAACAAATTTACAATAAGATGCACTTGACAAAACTGCAAAAGCCTAAGAAGAGCAAAGATTTGCAGGAACACAAAACACTTTTATACGCTATTTTCTTAGATATTAGCTGTCTTGTTGTTCAAAATCATATTTGGGGAGGCAGTTCAATTTTTGGAGGAGTCTAGTAAGGAAATTATTTGCAAAAAAATGAAAGGTTTATGAGAGGAAGGAAACAGAATGAGGAATTCGCTACATTAAATTTCTTCTCATGACAGCGTCCATTAACCCACAGGCCATGAAGAGTGAAGGAGTTTAGGGGGTAAATAGAAAGTTAATGTTTTGTCACATCAACAATATTCGCCAGATCTTTCAGCCTTTGACTTGTTTCATTTCCCAAACTTAGAAAACACCTTTCAGAAAGAAAAAACAAGTACAGCAAATCATAGGATCTGCTTTTATCCAGTATACGAATGGTCATACTCAAAAATGTGTTCTAAAAACAATTAGAAATTGAATGAAAATGTTACGGACATGTATTTTAATTAAAAGAGAATATTTTAGTTAAATCATTAAGATGAAATCATAGAAAATCGTTGTTTTGTTTCTTTCCGAGCCCCGATGACATTATTTATTGAACGTCCCTCGTATAAGATGTAATTGCATGATAACTATTGCGATATAAGAAAATCTTAATTTATTATTTTTGTATTCAAATGAAGCAGAATTTGTGCAAATTCTTATGCGTGAAAACAAGAAAACACTTGCTGTGGCCTTCAACTCGATATTTAGATTTAAAACAATGCTGTGACATCATTCCTTTGTTCTTGCAGTCTAAAAATTTACCTGTGGCAGTCCGATATTAGTGAGCAGTCTGATATTTATCGTAATATACTGATATCCTTCAAAATCGGACTGCTACAGAACAAAAGAAAAATAATGCAATTATTTAACAAACAGTAAACTTTAATATGTTTTATGTACACAATGCATATTTTGAAACTGGGAATAATTGTGTATGACAAAAGGAGAATGAAAACTTTTTTCATTTAAACAGAATAACAGTCTTGACTGTAATTAGAAATCAATGCCAATGGTAACGCACTTTTCTGCAGCTTTCACATGTACACTTCTCCCAGTCGAGTTCCCCTTGGAAGTAGACACAACATCACAAAAAGAAGAAGACATAGCATTACACGAAGTAGACACCACATCACAAGGGAATGTAGGTGTAGAAGACGAAGGTTTCATATTCTTCCACTTCAGAATGCTGTCAACGGCTTTAAGTTGATCATCCGATGTTCTCTTGTATCCACGAAGTGCCAGTGAACGATGGCCAGTTTTTTCCGAGATTAACTGTTCATCAATTCCTGCAGAATAGAGACGTGTGGCAGCTGTGGCACGGAGAATATATGGTTGGTAAAGTTAAATTGCAAAGACGCGCAACATGAATTCCAACAGGAACATCATCAAATCATAATGCATAAAATGACACAATGACACATATTTTTGTACAAATTAACAACACATTTCTCAAGATTTTCAAAATCTTCATACACACGCACACACTTAGGATCCAGCTTCCTTGAGTTTAACCCCCGGAATTGGTCTTGGACACGTCTTCTGTGTACAATAAATAACGGGCGCCGTCGCCGTCCTCCTTCACTTCCAACTGTGACCTGGTCCCTCTTCGCAAGTTTCGATGTTCTTGGCCTGCCCGTAATGCAAAATTTAATCCGAAAGAAAAAACTAATGTGTCCAACAAATCGGAGCCAAGTAAACCTTTCTCCCACAACATATTCTCTTTGTCGACACTAATGATTTCAGCTTTCCTGCGGGAACTCCCTAAGCCTGTTTTAGCCACTTCCTTCATCCGTGCATCTAGGACTTGTCTCATTTTACGGAATTCATTATCATCGAGAAAACTGACAAATTTGCCATTTTGACGTAGATAATGTTGAATTGATGTTATAATCTCATAGAGAGTGTTTTAATGTTCCCCTGCTTTGTTTCTAACTTCCGTGATGAAGCCACATAGGAAATTTAGGGTCTTATTGTCCATAGACAAAATAGGTTCCTCAATACTTCTTGTTTTCGCCCATTCTGTGAAAATATTTACAGCCCATCTGGATTTCCTCTCGGTATTCTGAGGAACGGCACTTTTGATAAGATTGTTCCTGTCAGTCTCTGAAAGCGGGTCTGCAAACCGAGAATTGCCCTGCATAGTTGCATCGTCGATATTTTTTGATGGGTTTTCAAAGTTTAAATCAAAGTTCACAGCAGTTAGAATATCACTTACGAGATTATCGGTATCATAATCTGATCCATTGCTTTCAGGTTTAAATTTGTTTTAATTTGTTTTGAGTCAAGAATATTTCGTCCCCACTCTCCATTTTAAACAGATCTGTTCACTCCTACTATCCAATACAAAATAGCTGATTCCTAACACTCTCAGTCAGAGAAGTAGTGAGTAGTTTTCATTCAAGTCTAAATTCTATTGTTATAATATCAGACTGTCTCAGGTAAATCAACAAATGAAAATAAAGGGTCTAGTATCATTGAGTAGTTTTCATTCAGGAATGATTCAATGGCCATAAAATACTTTTGTTTTAATATCAGACTGTCTCAGGTAAATGAAAAGAAATGTAGAGAGCAATGTTTTAAGTACGATATATGCCTCATACAATTCTGTATATACAGACAGTTTTCGGCCCTAACGGGCCTCAAACTGTCTGATATTTTTTCATACAGAACTGTATTCGGCATATATCCAATACATATCAACGACGTATTGTCTCTTAACAATGGTAAGTTCCATTCCTCGGTACGATATATCCTGGTGAGCTTGAGGTAAAACGTACCACAGAATCTGACACATCTGTTTCATACTTGTATATTTTACTTGAAAAAGACACTAATGGTAATCTAACAACCAAGCTTTATGATAAACGTGATGACATTAACTTTTCTATCGTCAACTTCCCTTACCTATGCAGCAATATACCTTCATCACCTGCATACGGAGTTAATATATCTCAGTTGATTCGATATACAAGAGCATGCTCTAGTATAAACAATTTCTAAAATGAGGTAAATTATTGACAAACAAATTGATGAAAAAAGACTATCAGCAGTCTTGTTTAAAGTCATCATTTCGTAAGTTCTATGGTCAAAACAATGACCTTGTCAGCAAATACAATTTATCATTGAGTCAAATGCTGACTGACGTTTTTCATACTAATTGTTAGTCCATTATTTATATACTGAATTGACGACAGATTTTAACGTTATTTCCCGATCATAACGTCGACAAGGAGCACACGGCGGGTATGACCGGTCGGCAGGGGATACTCAGTCCTCCATGGCACCTGATCCCACCTCTGATGTTTTGGAGGTCCGTGTTTGCTCTGCCCCTATTTTGTATTGTTTTATGGACTTTGATATTGATTACGGTTCGTTATCTCCATAGCCTTCATTCAATATCAGACCATATAGTCGTTATATTTTTAAAGCCATTATCTTTAACAATGTCATGAGATTCATTATTTATACTCTGAACACAAAGATGAAGCGACATATCCATGAGAAACGTCTTTAAAAAAAAAAAAGGAATCAGCTTTCTTTGAACAAATTCATTGACATGGAAACATTAAATATTCCACATGTACTTATAATCCCTCGACTTTTGTACCCGTTTGATGTATTTTATATATTATATTTTCTAAAATTCTATTTATTCTAAAATCACTTACCAGAGCACACGAAGCTTAAAGTATTGTCCTTTATAGTGGAATTAGAATTGAAAGAACACTGTTGTTTTCCATCACATTTTGACAGCAGTGAAATAAACAGAGCGCTATCAAACTGCGACATATTCATTATGGAAATGTAGTCGTTATTACACCGGAGAGAAATGGACCCTGTACTGAAAACCGGTGTCAATTTCCAAAGGTCTGAAATGAAAAGGTTAAAAATCTAATAAAAAAGACATAGAGAGGCGATAGTGGAATATTGCTACAACTAAGGAAAGTTGAATGGAAGTATCTATTGCTGATTGATTAAAACTTCGATGATATATACGAGTGTCGAGTTGAAGGCCACAGCAAGTGATTTCAATAGATTGCAATTATTGTTGCTTTTCGTGTACAAATGTAATAGATTTGTTTATTGTTTTTCCTGAAAAAAGCAAGGTTGGCTTTTTATACTTTTAATATCATAATTCATCGTTGATTTTAGAGAGTTTTAAGCCAATTTCTTGAAGATGTATTAATGTTTCCGAGTTTTGAGTAGAATTATTTATGTTATATGAATCTTTCAAAGTTTTAAAATTTCTAAATCTGTGGAATTATTTTCTTACAGAGTTTTGATTGGAGCTCCTTTTTTATTTATTGATGTGTTTGTTTGTTTTGTTTGTTTGTTTGTTTTTCGTTTTGTTTTTTTTTGTAGATTTACTTTGTATGGATAAATTTCTAATTTTCATGTTAATAACTTAATGTTACAAAGATATTGATAGAATATTTTAATTCATATGTATGATTGAGAGTTTTGAGTAAAGTTCTTCCTATTTTGTTGATAACATGAAGCCTAAAGTAAAAGGAAGCTTCTTATATGAAATAAAACATACCATAGAATCTGACAAATCCGTTTCAAATCTGTATATTTTAGTTGAAAGTTGTAATCTAAAAACAATCTTTATGCTAAACGGGATTATTAAATTATATATCGTCAACTTCCCTTACTTACTTACCAATTGGCAAACAGGGTTTATATTTCTCAATTAGGCAAGAAAATGCCGTACGTATGAACAATTTTTAGAACGAGGTAATTTATTGACAAAAAAGTTGATGAAACAAGAATATTAACAATCTCTTATAAAGTCATAATTTTGTGAATTATATGGTCAATACAATAAACTTGTCAGCAAATAAAATTTATCATTAAGTCAATGGTTTTTTAAAACTTGTTGTTAGACCATTATTTAAACACTGAATTGTCGACGAATTTTCCTATTTTATCCCGATCATGACGAGGAGTACATCTTGGGTGTGACCGGTCGAGAGGGAATGTTCACTCCTCCATGGCACCTGATCCCACCTCTTATGTTTTAGAGGACCGTGTTTGCTCTGATGGAGTTATGAGCTTGAATACTAGTCGCTGTCTCCTTATATTTCATTGAAGAAATTATGTTATTATACATAACTGAGTCCTTATAGTCCACTGTTGTAGATACATCGACGAGATACTTGATACTGGGTCTTAAAAATATAGTTTGAAGGTTGTTTGTGTTAAAAGAAAATGAGGTCATAGCGAAATACTTTCAATAAAATTAGACTGTTCAAACACACGTTAAATGAAATTTTAGTGGCACACTTTATATCAAAGATTTTTTCCCTAACAATATTTAATGATAAAATGTCTTATTCAGTTAAAGATTTTATAGTAACATGATTTAGCAATGGATAACAAATACACTCATAATATGGTATTTTAATTTTACCCACTTTAATTGTACACTTTGCCTAAAAATCAACTTTAATTGTGTGATAGTTTTAAGTGTTATCGAATGATATATCACACAGACACAAGAAGACAAAAGACTAAGGAAAGGACCGACAGAGAAAAACCCTTGACAATAATTGAAAGATAATGGGATAAAAAACAATTACCCAAACTCTCTACTTCATCTACTGTCATATTTGCACAAGCACATCCATCCAAATTTTCTTCCACACAACCTGAAAAAGTAAGGTAACTTTTAATTTCACAGTTTTATTAAAAACATAGGGGGACTCAGACTTTATGTTTTTTAGTTTAATATAGGTTTTTTTCAGAAGAAGGAGTGTATTTTAAAAATCTTTCTTGATGCAACGCATAGAACTGACACGACCCCCCCACCAGTATGTTTGTTCTTTTATCATTGTGCAAATAATAACTCTGAGTATATTCCCTTGATAATACGGACAGATGACAATATCTTACTGTTAATCGCATTAACAAGATTACATTCCAGTTCTTCAAAAAGACCACTAGATCTTAATCAACATACAGGATTGAATATATATGTGACACTATGTGGGCGTTGTGTCTTTAACTTTCTTTGAATTTTTAATAATTTATAATTAAAAATGGATATGTTGTATTGATTTTCTGACTGTTATTGATGGTGCACGAGTAACAGTGACAATTACATAGCCTGAGCGAGTAGGCGCCTCCTTTGAGTCTTCCAGATTTATGGGTATAAAATTTAGGACGCTATACATTCATTATATATTTAAAAAAATACAATATTATTTCGAAACTAAAATAATTTTATAATTAGTTTTATAATGCGAATTTTGCTGCATTCTTGGAGCTACATTTTTCTCAAATAGTAACAAAAACAGCATTACTCTGAGCATATAAACATGAACAATAAATTCATTTTAATTCAAAAATATAATATGATTGCACTAAACAAAACATTAACAACTCGCGACCTTCCTTTTTATAGGTTTTGCGGTAATCATTCTCTGTGTGTATTTTTAAAAATAGTCTTGTTCAGACGAGAGTTGTCCTAGCACAGTTCTCTGTACAAAAACCAGACGAAACTCAAAGAAAGACAAATATATAATCCTTTAAACGCTGCTATGATGATGGTTAATTTAACAAATAATATTTTGAAATCAAGAGAATCACCATAAATTTCCACCTCACAGGGCTCAATCACTGCGTAGTGATGGTTTGTTGGATTTGTGGTGTTGAGGTAGAGAAACACTTGTTCACCAGCATGGCCCTCAGGGAAAACGATTGTCAGTTGTTGGCTAGGACTGGGTTCCTCGTCGTGGTATACAGGTTCTAGCGAAGAAAGTTCATGTGACGTCACTGTCCGATTTGTTATAAAAACATAATAGCCAGCATTCCGAACAACTGAAATAGAACATTGTAGAACAAAAAATATAATTATATTTACACTACAGAAAACTGCCAACACATCTCCAAATAAATTTAATATTTCAGTTTCAAAAACTTGTTTATGATGCATTTGAAATACAATAATAGAATAATACAGGAATTGATATTAGAAAAAAGTAAAATATACTCTTAAGATATGAAAAAGGACAAAATAAAATAAAGTGATTTTGGTATATCAGGTGCCAAAGAGGAGTAAGCATTCCTGTCGACCTCCCAAACCCTCCTTGACTTGATTACATAATCGAAATTTGATATTATACGAAAATGCTAGTGCGTATAGAATCAGCCATGAGACATAAACACAACATGCAAATGATATGAAATATTTTACAGAAAATAAAATAGTTGACGATTGAGAATTGAAGTTTCTTTTGTTAAGTGTATACAGTTTAGATGAAGTTTGCCATCAATATCTTTTTTGTTGGATTTGATGTACGATATTAATTATAGATTTTATATATATAGTTTGTTTTTTTTAATTTCAAGCTATATTGATATATAACAAATCGACGCATATGTTTAAACGATATTTCGTCACTGATAAATCTAAATGCCGAAATGAAGGCAACGGCAAAAGACTTCTCATGAAGAAATTTTTAAAATTATGTCTACATCTTTAAAAATACAAACACAGGTTTGCTTTAGTACCGGGCAGGAGTAATACCCATCAAAATTCCTACATATTATTGAATGTCTTCAAACGACTTATTTGATATTGTCAATGAAAAACTCATAGCATCCTTTTAACATGCCGTAAGAACCGGGCAAAGGGTGGGGGCTGCTTCCAATAATATTCAACTACAGGAAATTTAGCGACTATATGCTTTTGCCCTCTAAAAAAACATCTGATTACCTTTTTTTGGCTTGTCAAGTAATTTTTGGTAGTTGGTAGTACCCCCCAACTGATAATATTTGGCTGTTACCCCAAAAAGAAATTACTTCATAGTACCTGTTTAATATTAACTTCAGAGTACGTGTACCTGCGTGTGCAATTAAAATAAATTTAACAAGGTATTTTTCGAGTTTAAGAGGCAATTTGTGTTCACGACGTCAATAAGTCTGGTCTTTTATTATCATGAGAATAATTTTAAAATGTTTTGAACAGACCTGTATTGACTGTTCGATATATCATATGTTGTTTTACGTCCCATTAAAAATTTCATGATATAGAGACGTCGCCACCTACGGGTGATGGGCTTCAAATTAAGACCTTCACTCAGTACTCAGAGTCCTTAACAGTAAGGGATCTTTATCGAGCCAACGCCTGTTGTAGAACGGGCCTTCAGTTTAAAGACGTCATCCGAGAGACTCCAAACTTGAAAACTTTAACGGTAATCTAACAACCAAGCTCTATGGTAAACATAATGACTCGAACTTTTCAATCGTCAACTTCCTTTAGTTATGCAGGAATATATCTTCACCACCTGCATACGGAGATAATATGTCTCAGTTGATTCGATACGCAAGAGCATACTAGATACGTATGAAAAATTTCTAAAACGAGGTTGATTAGTGACGTTGTAGTAAGTTAATGAAACAAGAATAGCAGCAGTTTTCTTTAAAATCATTATTTCGTAAGTTTTAAGGTCGATACAATGACCTTGCCAGCAAATACAATTCATCATTGAGTCAAATGCTTAAATTACTGACGTTTTTCAAAGTAATTGTTAGTCCATTATTTATACACTGAATTGACGACGGATTTTTCCGTCGTTTTCCGATCACGACAAGGAGCACACGGCGGGTGCGACCGATCGGCAGGGGATTTTCACTCCTCCATGGCACCTGATCCAACCTCCGATGTTTTGGAGGTCCGTGTTTGATCTGCTCTTATTTTGTATTGTTTAATGGACTTTTGATCCTGATTACTGTTCGTCATCTCCATATGTTTCATTTCTAAGTGTATTTTGAGTGAGCTGTTAATTAAAACATTACAACGAAACATTGAGTTTAAATACATGTAGTAAGATGTTAAGCATCCGATTAAAAAAATCCACTTAGTCAGAAATAATATAATTCTTAAGGACAGATGACACTTGTACAAACAAAAAATTGGTGCCTGGATTGGTAAATTTTTGGGTCTATCTTTGTTGCAAATGATACAAATAATAAATTTCTAAAATATTCAGAAATTGTAAACCTTCTATTAAGTTCAGACTTTCTGGAACCATCCTTATTAATCTATGCATTTTTTTTCCACCTTAAATTCCTTCATTGCAAAACTTTGAATAAAAAATATAATAACTACGAGGTAAAAATTGCTCATTTTACTCATAATATCACGACTCAAGTTGTTTTTTCTTACAATTTTTGTTTTTTACAAAAGTTTGTTCATTTCATCTGTCCCTAAATAGAACGTTTTAAATTCTATTGTTTTTTTAACAATGCTGAGAGGCATGTTTCAAAAAGTATATAGATACTGCACTTACACAATTCCCGAAAGACCAAGTTAATTTTAAAGATGTTGGACGTGGACTTCAATGTGACCTGCCACCAAGCCTCTCCGAACGGTTTATTGACGTCAGATCCAGCACACTCATGTTGGTGTACATAATACTTCCCATCCAAGGCCTTGTCGGCTGTGAGTGCAGGTTCTCCAGGCAGATCATAGTATTTATAAACTGTAGATATGGAGGTATCTCTTCGATGATGAATTCCCAAATTACACAGCTGGCCTGGTGTTGAATGAAGAAAAAATTATATAATTATGTAATGTACTTGTCTTTTACGATATAAATGTTAACAATGTAACCCGCATTTATCATTATGAAATTTCATCAAAATATAATAAAACCTGTTTGTAGACTTCCCTGTTTTAAAATATTTTTTACTTGAATTTTTATTTAAAGAGTGTATTTTTTTTCACTTTACGGTTCAGGGACACCTCCTTTCAATTTTTTTCTGAATGTAATTCTTTACATTTAAAATTAAATTCAAATTTTACTTAGACTAAAAATATTCAATGATAGACTGATCCCTCAGCAATGGAGCCTAATAACCCATCCCTAACCGTATCCTAACAACAAAACAACATTTGATATTAAAAGACTTCCAAATCCATGGATTTTAACGACTTGAAATATTCATTTAGAAAAAAAAACTTGAATTATTTTTGGAGAATTTAACTTGAATTATATGGAGATAACAAATCCATAAAACAATACAAAAAAAGAGTAGGTAGAGCAAACACGGACCTCCAAAATATTGGAGGTGGGACCCCGCTTCTCTCAATCCATTTGGTGTGGACTTCAGAAAAAGTGAAAAAAAAGCATGAACTGCTTCAAAAGTTCTTATAATTTAATTATTGGATCATATAATAAAACAATTAATGTTGTTTTCCCGTCAATACGATGAGTTAGCCACCTTCGAAAAAAGAAAAAAAATAAGATCTTCTCTAGTGCAGAAGAGCCATGATTGGACTTTTGCGAGAAGCGCAGACTTTTACAATCGACGGGTTACTTTTACACCTGGAAAATGTACAGAAGCTCTTTTGCAATATTAATAGTTAGCGTAAAAGTTAATAAATCGATAATAATGGGCCATTTCAAAGCCCATATTACGTTGTCTAGGAAAGGAACGGCAACAATCCTACCCTCACCCCCCTCCCTTCCTGCCAAGTTTTCCTTACAGGGTGTTTTTCTTCTTTATTTGATTCCGTGTTTGGAAAATGGAAATAAAAAAAGAGATACTATCTGTCATGGATAAGATATTTTAACAATTTTATTCTACCTCCAAATGTCTCTTGTATTGATAAGTAATGTAAGTGTCTATAAAACCATAACTACAGAGTGTATATCAACTATTTATGTTTTTCTTATCTAAATTATCAATTTCATACCACCAAACATAACCCAGGTTTAATTGTCAAAAATAAGCCGTTAACTGTAAAACATTAAAAATTCACAATCAATTTCTGTTTAACTTTGAGAAAAACTCTTCTGTAATCGAAAATCGATTCAGGGTTTTGTTTAAGTATTAATTGCCGCTGTCATTAATTAGAAACATCGTAATCAAGGGCTAAAAAATGGCGCACATTTTAAAGTAACCATCAATTTTTAAAAACTTCAGTCTTCAAAGTAATGTCTTTTCTTTACAATTGTTCAAGCATGAGCTATAGATATCCTTTGTAAAAATGCGACAAAACATCATGAGTACATGCAAAAAATAATTTTGTATTCTGTGAACCATAGCACATCATTTGCGTTCATTTTATTTGTATTAATTTTAATGTACAATGATCTATTCTGAAAAAGTTTTCCTTTTTCCTTACGGAAATAAACGGTGGCTCGTAAAGAACGTTATTTTTTATTTTCAAAATCTCCTCTACCTTAGTACAATTCCATTCTGATTTAAACATAGATAGCGATCTTACGAAAGCCCAGAAGGCTCATTCGAGATTCAAGTTTCGAAATACGAGATTCAAAATTCGAGATTTTAATCAAAATCAAGATCCAGATTAACCAATCAAAAGGCTCATTCGTTTTCTGTATATAATTAATTAAACAAAATCCCATTAACCAATCAAAGGCTTTCAACATTGATTACTCCCCTTTGTTATGTTTAATCTATCAATAAATCGTTGAATATATTTATAACAAATGAGTCATTTGAATAAATTACAATGCAAGAAAGAGTGTTATATATATTAGAAAGAAAGTTAAATAATCATTTGATTTTTGATCAGCAAGATATACTTCAATTTATATTATGACTTCTTAAATATTAAATAGAATACATAATCAGGAATATATATATTTTTGCATTGTCTACTATATATAAAGGATTGTTGACATAATAATAAAGTTATAAATAGTGACTAAAGATTAACAAAATTCTTGTAGCCTTGATAAATAAAAGCCGAGTATATTTTAGTCTTTGACCATAACGCTATGGTCAGAGACTAAAATATAAAACCATAACGCTATAGTTCTGCAGCTAATTTAGACTAATCTACTGTTTGATATCAGATAAAATGAATGCTGCATTTATTTTAATTCATATTTGCAATCTGTATTGTATATATAATTGTTAATTAGTTCAAGAAATCAAAGCCTTAGATGAACATAAGTAATTGAAAACTTTATTTTAATGTATTCCCTCTATTAGGAAAACGAGCGCGGTTTTTATTTATCAAGGCTACATTGCCTTTCAAAGTTTAAAGTAACATTTTCAGTGTCGGGAAAAATTGGCAGGTGTTGCCGGTAGGGGTGGGGATTTTGTTAATCTTTAGACACTATTTATAACTGTATTATTATGTCAGCAACCCTTTATATACAGTAGACAATGCAAAAATATATATATTTGATACATGTATATGTATTCTATAATATTTAAGAAGTCATAATATAAATTGAAGTATATCTTGCTGATCAAAAATCAAATGATTATTTAATTTCCTTCTAATATATATATTCTTGTATGTAATTTATTCAAATGACTCATTTGTTATAGATATATTAAATTTTATTGATAGATAAAACGTAATAAAGGGAAGTAATCAAATGTTGAACCCGCATTTGATTAGTTAATCTGGATTTTGAATCTCGAAACTCGAATTTTGAATCTCGTATTTGAAACTCAATCTGAATGAGCCTTTTGATTGGTTAATCTGGATCTTAATCTCGAAACTCGAATTTCGAATCTCGAATTTTGAATCTCGTATTTCGAAACTTGAATCTCGAATGAGCCTTCTGGGCTTTCGTACGATCTCGTGTGAGCGAATCAAAGGATCTGATTTTAATCAAAATGGTTCAATTCTAGAGTTCTCGTTTTCTGTATATAATAATTAAACTTACCATTAGCAAGGCTTTTTTCTGTTTTCCCCCGTTTTGCTTAGCAATTTGATTGAACTAGAACACGCACATAAAGTAAGAGAAAAAATGTTGAAGGTGCTTCATATTTTGAAACCGTAGTATCAAAATAAATTTATCCAAGTAATTTTACTTTTGAAGACTATAATGATTTTGTTTCTGATTATAGATTCTCTTTGGTGTCAACAATTCCCTGCTCATATTCATGTATTCGTGACCATGAAATAAAAAAAAGTCGTCAAAATAAATTCAAGGGTCAGTATTTGAAAAATACAAATATAATATCCACTACAACTTTGGTTTAAGAAGTATTTTATTCAAAATACTAGTATACAGAAAAGTATACAGTGAATATGGATTGAACAGCAGGCCAACAGCCTATATTAGTTCTTTCCATTCACTTTGAGGTTATGGAAATGAAAAAAAGATTATCAAGTTTTATGTGATTTTCAAATAAGTTTTACTTTTATTCTAATGAAGTTGATAGTTATTCATGTAGTTTTTTTCTAATCATGAAAAAAAAAAAACGGCGGGTGTAACCGGACGGCAGGGGATGATCACTCCTCCGTGGCACCTGATCCCATCTCTGATGTTTTTGAGGTCCATCTTTGCTCTGTTCCAATTTTGTATAGTTGTTTCAAATACTTTTGAGCTTGAATGCGGTTTGTTATCTCCATATATTTCTTCTTATTATTCTTATTAATTTCTACTTTTGAATGAATGAATGAATTTGTACTTCAAGGATTTAAAAGATAAAATATTTACATCTCCTTTGATATGGTAACCTCTAGGGTACTTGATATTTCATCAAGCTCTAATTGACTACCAATTGAAAATTTCTTATCTTCTTTATCTAAGAAAGAATTTCTTCTTTCTTAACCGTGTGAACTACTTAAGAAACTTCGTGTCCAGATACGAGCATACACATTGTATATATAATCATATATTTACATTCAGTGTAATTTTCTTTATGAAATCCATTAGAAATCCACGACATTAAATTCTCTATAGCACACGCGAAACCTTGTCACCGCGCGTTAGAATATTCAGTAGGAATATATGCTCTAGAATATCAAAATGTACATTATTGTGATTGAATTTAATTCAAAAACTATAACCCTGTTAAATTAACGTAAAAATACGACAAATGTGCGTTGTAATTAATTTGTCACTTTTTTCCTTCGCAATGTTCGTTTGCGTTATTTAACTTTGCAACGTCACAAACGTCAAAAACGGCTGTTACGTCTGTAAAGCACACCAGTTTTGTATAAATTCACATTAATATATATATATATAAATATATATATAGAAAATATATAGAATATATATATATATATATATATATATATATATATATATTCGGTCCTATAACACACCTGGCCGTGGCGACAAAATTGAATAACGCGGGTTTTCAATTTGTCGGCACGGCCAGGTGTGTTATAGGACCGAAGACATCCCCAAAAATGAATTCAATGCTTAATTAAAACTGAAATTGAACCGTAACATTTTATGTGTATAGTTTATGTATAGCATATCAAAACAGAATGATAAAAGTTTTTTGTAAAATTTCAAATTTATTGTACATTAATTAAATGTACATTTTACTTCTAATAATTCCGATTTTTTGCGATTTGTTTTTATTAATTTATTTTTTAACAAATGCACTTTTTATACGCAAAATAAACAAGAAAAACTACATACTGACTTTAAAAGACATTATACTCTGTGGCCTGTTTTTTTTTTCTTCAAACACTTCGCCCTGTTAACTTGGCTTTAGTGACTTCGATATCCTCTGGCATTTTAAATAAATATATAAGAACTAGTCTACTGGTACTTAATATTTGCCGGCAAATCAAACACAACTGTGGTTACTTTTTGTCCGGCCCTATCGGTCATCGTATATTTCTGATAGAAACTAATTAGTAAAGGACTTTTAAGTGTTAAAATTCAAGCTTAACATGAGTCCCGATCATGACCCGAGAAGATTAATTTCTTTATTGTTTTATTGGATAGCTGCTCATAATAATCATAAAATATTCTTAAATAAAGTACATATGGATATAACGAAAAGTTCACAAAGTCCATTTAGACAATATTAATCGGGTGCGGAGCCATCACAAACCTACAAAGTTATCAGGGACAGGATAAGGTATCATGGGTGAGGGAGCATTCCTTGTGATGATCGAATCAACTGGAAAATTCGAAGATATTCAGGGTGAAATAAAATAAGTAAGTATGAAAAACGTCTCTTAGCATTTGACCAATGGACAAAATATATTCGCTGTTATGGTCAATGCATTCACCATAGAACTTCCAAAATAATAATTTCAAACGAGATTGTTAAAGATCCTTTTCATCAGCGTGATTGTAAACAGCTCGTTTTAAAAATTGACCGTACGGAGAGCATGCTTTAAAAATATTTATTTAGAATACTGAATAGATTTGGCAAAAGAATTGCCTATTAACGGACGTAGAGTATGCTCTTGCGTATCAAATAAAGTTGTAGAATGAACCTAATATGCAGGTAACATGGTATATTGCTACATAAGTAAGGGAAGTTTATGACAGAAAAAGTTAATGTCATCGCGTTTATCATAAAGTTTTGGTGTTCGTTTATCATAAAGGTTTGTTATTATGTAAACATCTTTTTATAGTAAAATATAAGTAATAGTAAGATCATATGAAGAGAAATCTTCGTCACGAAGAATGGGCGGAGCGAAGCGGAGCCCATTTTAGACGAAGATTTCTCTTCATATGATCTTTGATGAACAGAACCTCAGCCAATCAAATAAATGGATTAAAAATAAACTCCTCCCACGGCTGTGTCATATATAAGGCTCAACTTGACCGCTCGTTGTACAAACAATATCGAACACACGCGGTTTCAGAATGTACTCCCAACCTATTCAGGTTAGCACGGGATTTTATGAAATAGCTTGCATCAGGCACGTAGCAACAGGGTGGGTGGGTGGGGGGGGGGGGTTCCAGACATAACTTTTACTATCGAAAATGTTCATTGAAAGGCTGAACCCCCCCCTTGCCACTTTTTACTACAGTATATGAATATGAAGGTAATGTAGTTTTGTACGGGGTTAAATGGAACTGGAAGAAATTGGTATTGAAAAAAACGATGCTATGTAAGTGATTAACTGGGGAAATGGTATGGGGAAGATATTAAAGCTACTGAACTAATGAATATCCTTGTAACAAGAATCTATATTTTTGAAAAATGATTGTGTTAAGATGACAAGACCCTATTCAGCAGGATTGGGTATCGCTGTCTAGGGTCAAATAAAAATTTGATGAAAATTGTGACTTAAATCTGTATTCGAAGACAAGGTTCATCTCTTATATACTTGACGATGGTTGTATTTTCTGTATGTACCGAAATGTGAAAAAAAATAATATTCAGAAAGGCGGCAAAAGATTACAGTGGAAAAAAAGTGTAGCAAGGCCTAGAAAGTTTAAATATCATTGTAAACAGCACGTGGCTTTGAATAGTTTCTTTTTGTGTGCTAAACAAAAACCAATGAAGACACACCCATATAACTGTCAACTGAACCAATCAGACACCGTTAAATATTTCAGAAATAGAAGAATTCTTCACCATGAAGAATCGATTCTTCGCGAGAAATAGAAGCATTTGATTGGCTGAATAAGTAGGTTATGTTCTAATTACATGAAACAGAAGTGGCATACTCTTTTGTGTCTTTTATTTCAAGTTCACTGGGATATACCGAATCGACTTATAAATGAAAGTAATAATCGTTAATTGCTAATACCTCTTCAATATATCTAAATGTCGAATAGAAAGCTACAAGTGTAGAAATTGTTTTGAATAAATTCTGTTTAACACGAATACACTGACAATTAGATCTGCTAAAAATGATATACATTTGTTATACAATAACGATAAAAAATAATAATGTAATGATAACAATGTAGCATTTTGTACTCATGGAAAGTTAAGAAAATAGTTCAAAGACCTGAGCTCCAAAATTTACGTAGATATTGTCAATCAGAAACTCAACTTTTTTTCTAAAATTTCCCGGTATCAAGAACAGAATACTACTGCTTTTTTCTCTATTTAAAGCCAAGATAAAAAGTAGCTTCGATATATTATCAACAAGCTAGCTCCTGAACCTTAGATTGGGTTTGCAGAAGAACTAACTGCTTAATACATTGCTTTCCTGCTAAGTGTCTTAATCAAAAGTTTTCATCTATAAAGCATTTCCTTTAGGGAACCATTTCAGTCCAATTCATGAACTTGATATCAGATTCCTTTCCAAAGGAAAAATATATTTTACAATATGTTAGGATTTTGGTATACATTTTTATTATTTCCATATTTTCAATGACAAATTACCAGGAAAGAAAGATATTTGAAGTGTAATTCATTTAACAAAAACTTCCCAAGTAACCCCAGTGCTGAAGAGTACTGTATTTTCTTGAACCACAACTTTTACAAATAAAGAGAATTTGATTGTACTCTTCATTGTTGAACCTCCGGTCCCTTCGAGTATTTTAATGTAGAAGAGGACTGAGTGTCTCTTATGTTTATGCTAACAGTTTGACTTCTTGATGTGTTGGAATAAGAAAAAAAGAATTTTTCAAGATTGCATATTGTTTTGATCGCATACCTAAAGTCTTATGGAGCAGTTTGGCAACGCACTTTGAAAAAATTACGCACTTTGAAAGTGCGTTATATTTGGGACAAAATCAACGCACTTTGAAAATTTTTTCAAAGTGCGTTAAGAGTGTACATAAACATTTTTTACCATGGGGACATTTAACGCACTTTGAAAAAAATATATATAAATTTTAGTAATTGAGAGAATAAATTTGTAATATTTATATCTTTCGAAATCTTTTTAATTTACATGTATTCATTTAACCTCTTTGAGATCAAGGAGAAGACAAGTAGAAGGTCTCTCAGCCCAACTCCTTTTTTTCTCATACATTGTACATAGCCGTCGGTAGCAAATTGAAATTGGACCGCCCCTTCCCCCCCAAGGTAAGCCCCAATTTTCAATGCTCATATAAAGTTTCTCTTTGCAAAACATGTGTGCGCCTAAACCCCCTCCCGGTACCAATGCCTATGCTACACCCAAATATAATATGTTTTCGCATAACTGGTATGACGTTGAAAACTTTCAGTAAATTTTAGTTTACATAAAAAGCATGCAAACTGGAAAAATATTAGTTCAGTAAAACATATTTTTTCCAGTTTACATGCATTTCCATTCTTTGAAAATTCTTTTTCTCTTGAAAGAACAGTAAAACATTTAAGAGAGAAAGTATGGAAAAATCAAAATAGTTCACCAACACATTCTGAAATGACCTTTTTCACCGAAAAGATTCAATTATTTATCATACTTAAGTTTTGCAAATATATTGACCATGCCATAAACATTTTTTCAAAGTGCGTTAATATGGCACATATTAACGCACTTTCAAAATAAATTTTATTTTTTCAAAGTGCGTTGATTTGGTCCCAAATTTAACGCACTTTGAAATTTTTTTTCAAAGTGCGTTGTAACAGAGCAGAGACCATGTAATTCACAAATTGCACCCTTTTACGCATAGTTTCTGTATCTTATTTTATATTTACATAATAAATTGTTGTGTAATTTAAAAGAAGCTTAAAACGTTTAAAAATTTAATTGATCAATGGACGACGAAAGACAACGGGCGGAAAACAACAAATAGATAAACTTTATAACTAAGTTGACCAGAAAATACTAGGCAGTGAAATTATGAAAGATGTTTGTTAACATATACCTTTTACATATAATATATAACGTGACTACTTAACTGAAAATCTTCATTATGTTCAAGACCTGTGTGAAATATATGGAGACAACGAACAGAATTCAAGCTCATAATTATTCCTTTAAACAATAGAGCAATTACGGATTTAGATAAGTTCAAATATATAACATGCAACCATGTGTTAGGGATAGGCGAGTACTTTCATTTCAAAAACAAATGTTTCGATTAGCATGATTTGCAAACTGAACAATATTAAAGAATATATGATTGCTTACCGTTATGTTTCTTCATGAGAAGAATTCCAAAAATAATGTAAGTAATGCTTTGCGCCATTCGATGGCTTAAAGTGGCACATTTGATAACATAAAAGACACTGCATAGAAACAATCCGTTTGTCGGCTATGCAGGCTAATTTTTCGTATTTATTATTAATTTCACTTCGGGGTGTCGTTCAGGCGTGGAAAATTGATGAAGTATAACGTGTCTGTATAGTCCTGTTTAAAAAGAATTCCATGTAATCGGAGCTTCAAACTCCATACCTCATTAATGAGATGATTTAATATTAATGACAATGCTGTTATACGTAAATACCACATAAGTCGCTTCAGTTTCGTCTATAAATTTTAACAGAAATCAATGATAATTGTATTTTTTTAATTATTGATTTTTCTGCTCATATTAATTGCATAATATTTGTTTTTCCGTAGATAATTTCAAAAATATTATAATTAATATCGTTACTTTTAATTGGTTGTTAACTTATCGATAACCATATTCATTTGATGGGGGTAATAAAAAAAAATTAAAAAGATATATCGTCATTTTTTATATATATATATATATCTAAAGTTAATCATTTTTTTAAAACTGTAGGCATATGTTAAATCTCTTCTCCAGTACTAGTAAAGGCGTAACATTGTTTTTATTGTTCACAAGTTTGGACTCAGCGAAGCACTCAAGTTAAGGTGGAATGCCACACCAACTTTTTATTTTATAGATCTTTGAGTCATCCTTTTTAGACAATGGTTTCAGCATTGAAAGGCCGATATTAGCTCTTAATTATTTTATATGAATTTTTTTGTATTTTTTCAAAGAAAATGATTTAAAAAAAAAATATTGATTTCCAAATAAGTTGTTTTCGAGTTAAAAGTTTGCTGTAAATTAATGCATCATATGAATATCTAATAAATTATGTAAAGCAAGGCTGGTAAGACTTTTTAATTTTTTTTTTAATAAAAAATTATTTATGAAAATAAAACACATCGTTTGTGAATATTTTTTAAAGCTATGGTTAAAAACACCATAAAACTAGCCACAACTGAGGACAACATGTTTGTCAATCATATTTTAAAAAGAAATTGAAACGAAATTTAGAAATTTTAGAGAAATTAATTTTTTTTAATTTTTGGACCTAATCCGATCAAAATTAAACTGATCCCGATCAAAATTAATGCAAAATGAATAAAATGCTAATTTAACGCCTCTTTATGTATTTACAATGAAGAAATCTATTTTATTGTCAAGTTCAACAATGTGTTAACCCTTCGATCGTGTTCTTTGGAAAATGTTATTTATTTCGAATACCGTATATACTCGCCTATAAGTCGGTTTTTTTGGGAGTTAATCTCCGGTCTAAAACTCATTGTCCGACTTATAGGCGAGCTATCAAAAGTATGGTTTTATATGAGATCAGTCCATCTGATATGAAAGCTTATTAAATACAACCGACTTATAGGCGGACCGACTTATAGGCGAGTATATACGGTAATTGTACAATTATGGTTGGGATCGGTTTAAATTTGATCGGGATTGGCCAAAATTAAAAAAATTAATTTCTCTAAAATTTGGCCATTTCGTTTCAATTTCTTTTATAAATATGATTAATGAAATGTTCTACAGCTGTGACTTTTTTATAATTGATTTTAACCACAAGTTTAAAAAATATTCACAAGTTATGCGTTTTATTTTTATAAATATTTTTTTTTTATTTTTAATATCTTTACGGCTTTTCTTTACATATTTTTTTAAGTATTCATGTGATGCATTCATTTACATAAAAATTTTAACAACAATATATCTAATTTATATATATATATATATATATATATATATATATATATATATATATATATATATATATAAAATAATTGAGATCAATTTTTTCAATGCTGAAACCATTGTTTAAAAAGGTTCTCCAGAGATCTATAAAATAAAAAGTTGGTGTGGCATTATTTTAAGTTAATTCACAAGTTTTTAGCTCACCTGAGAGAAGGCTCAAGTGAGCTTTTCTTCACATTCCTGCTTGTTTTTTTTTACATGTTTTTTTATTTAAACTTTTCACATTTTTTTTTTTGAACCACTGGGCCAATTTTACCAAACTTGGTGCAAAGCATCCTTGCATGAAGGGGAATTAAAATTGTTTTATAAATTATCCTATCACAAGGGGAGAAATGAAAAGACAAAAATAATTTTAAAAATCTTTTTAAAGAACCACTGGGTCCTGAAACTTATGTAAGCATCCCGGGGTAGTGTAAATTTAAATTGTTAAAATCATGACCCCCATGAATGCGGATTCAAATTATCTCAAAGTTTTACATAGAAATATGTAGGAAAAATCTTTAAAAATCTTCTTCTCAAGAACCACTGGGCCAGAAAAGCTGAAACCTATGTGGAAGCATCCTGGGGTAATGTAGATTCTTAATTGTAAAAATCATGACCCCCGGGGACAGGGTGGGGCCACAATGGCCAATCAAAGTTTTACATTGAAATATTTAGGAAAAATCTTTAAAAATCTTCTTCTCAAGAACCACTGGGTCAGAAAAGATGAAACTTATGTAGTGTTGTAATTTTTAAATTGTTCAATTCATGACCCACTTGGGGCCACAATGGGGAATCAAAGTTTTACATAGAAATATATAGGAAAAATTTTGTAAATCTTCTTCTTTAAGAAGATAGGCCAGAAAAGCTGAAACTTATGTGGAAGCATTTTGGGGTAGTGTAGATTCTAAATTGTAAAAATCATGACCCCCGGGGGAAGGGCGGGGCCACAATGGCCAATCAAAGTTTTACATAGAAATATATAGGAAAACTCTTTGAAAATCTTCTTCTCAAGAACCACTGGGCCAGAAAAGCTGAAACCTATGTGGAAGCATCCTGGGGGTAGTGTAGATTCTAAACTGTTAAAATCATGACCCCCGGGGGAAGGGCTTTTCAGGTGAGCGATGTGGCCCATGGGCCTCTTGTTTTGCTTACAATTAGAAATTTTTTTGCAGTTGCATTATTATTAAGTTTTATTATTATTTTATCACAAGAGAAATATAAACTTCATAATTGATTCGATTATACAAACCCTTTCTAAATTTAGACTGTAAGAATGAGTTCACGATATGTGATTTAAAATATCTCTCTAAGCGGAACCATACCTTTCACTTTAAGGACAGAAGAGACGTTCCTCAATAATATATAATTTTTTCCAGGATTTTGTCATTGAACAATTACTACTTTAACATGTTTACTCACAAAAAATTGAGGTACTTTACCGGGCATTTTTGCGAGATACCAGAGGATGACATGCATTTCTTATATAACCCTTTATAGAAAAAATTTAGTTTGCAAAAATAACATTTTTAGTGTTTCAAATTTTTAAAAACAATTAAAAACCACTAAATTTAGAACTATCTGTTTGAAATTTATGTCGCTCTAGGCGGAACCACATAATATGACATTTATAAATACATATTTTTATTTAAAAAATCGAAAAAAAAAAAACCAATTGAAACTCGATAAATACCGATAAAAATAAATTTCCGTAACCATTATTAGGATTTATTGACGGAAAGATGATCAAGACATATAGTGGGAATAAAATTGAAGGAAATACGATATTTTGGGTGAATGGACTTTTAATGAAGAGCAGAACAAATGACGAAGCAAAACCGCCCATAATTTATTGTCACAATTACTTGGGTATGAGGTAAGCGGGAATGGTGTGATATTAATAATTTACTGATATTATATCAAAATATTTCATGGCTTTCCGTTGTTCTTTTTTTTATTATTTCTATTTTCCCTGGGTTAAAAAATTGTAGAAAAAAACGCATGATTTCCCGTGACACCATGATGATGACAGCATTAATTGTTTATATTAAATTTATTATTCGTCGAAGATCCAATATATAGCCATTACTCTGATAACAAAGCCTCGCATGTCTGAAATTCTAAAATTAATCAGTACAGAAAGTTATAGTATACCAGCATTAATATAAATTGACATTTTAGAATAACATAGTGTGATATATATATAATTTAATAAAAGGTCGGTTTTACCCGTAAAAATAGTTTAACTGGTAGAATGGGTCCTTGTTCTATATCTTGTAAAGATAAATTGTATTTTCAAGAGAACATTAAAGTATACTAGTATATACTTTCAAGAAAATGCACTACAACCCATTTTTTATTTTGAAAAATTGCTATGATATGAATAAAAATGTCCTATTTGGTGTGCGCCTGCTTCTTCATCGGCGAATACTTTTAAAGTAAATTTTAAATTTTTGGGATTGTTGCTAGTTTGTTAGCTTTACAGATAGTGTTTAAAATGTTTTAAGGAGTCACTGTCTATAGCTATTTAGTATAATATGCCAGGGCATCAACAATAGTGGGAAACATGGGATAATTTGCATAACGGGCGATGTCCCTGGCATACTATACTAACTAGACAGTGATTCCGTATATTTCCATTTCATTGTGAAATAAAATTGTAGATTTAGACTTTAAAAATGCAGACATAGATTTAAATTATACGAGGACTCACATCCCAATTCCAATATCTCTCGCCCACTGACGTCTATATATACAACGGCAGCCGACACAAGATTTTCATAAATATTTGGTTAGCGTCAGACTCACAGACAGATGCGCACGAGATTTGTATGCATATTAGGCCTCCATAGCTCTTGACCTATTGACCTTCCTTACTTATATTCCGGTAGAATTATCAAGAAATTAACTCCGCTAACTTTCAAGGAGAGATAGAAATGGAAATATAAATACATGTAACCCATATTTATTTTCATTCCGGTGTTGAATCGATATAAAAGTATCCTTTTAAACTGGAAATTATTAAAGTCACCACAGAGTCAATCGCATATGTTTTTGTTTGAATATTTTCTTAGAAAAAGACATAAATGGCAACCTAACAAACAAACGTGACTTCAGCTTTTCTATCATCAATCTCCCTTATTTTACGAGCAATATACTCTTATGATCTGCATATGGGGTTTATATCTCTCAGTTGATTCCATATGCAAGAGCATGCTATATATACCTCCGAACTTTTTCTGCAACAAGACATTCAAGCTTTTCTCAAATAAATTTTGTTATAATGTACTCAAGAGTTTTCATGTGGTTGAAGTCAAACTTTTTCAAATTCTAGCTATGGTCGATACAATATCCTCGTTAGCAAATACAATCTATTGTTAAGTAATGTTGACTGAGGGTTTCAAACAAATTACGTGCTAAAAGAAGACATGTTTCCGTTTCTTTGATGATGACGAGGAGTACACAGCACGTGGTATGACCGTTCGACGGGGATATTTACTCTTCCACGGCGCATTGTTCCAATGAATATATCTGAGCATGATTAATTAATATGCGTTATCTTCATTTTTGTTATAATTAAGCTGCTGTAGTGGTCATGCATAGCCCTAGCTTTGACGGCGACTGTACTATAAACAGAACTTGGCAGCGCCGGTGTCATGGTTGGATCCTATTTGACATGCAGATTCCTAGTTAGGCCTATATCTGATTTTTTCATACTGTCAAATGTTAAGTTTATGAATTGTGATCACATACATAAACCAACAAATTGAGAGGTATCTGTAAAAAAGGATGAGTCAGTGCAAATGATAGGCACCGATCTATCTAGGAATGTTTCTTTTTTCTTAATGTGTCTCAAGATCAAGAAAAAAATGGACAATCGAATACACGTTACACATGTACTTGCAATAGATAGATGCTAATCAAAGGAAAGTGGTGAGGATGTATGCACATGTGATAAGACCAATGATAGGCCAAGAAACATCAGATAGCACTCTGTGAGCATCACAAGTACTGATCACGCAATGACCGAGGTAAACTGAAACCAGAGGAGATCAAAATCAGGGATTGTGTTTAACCTGCGACTTATGATAGTCCCAGTGTGTTGAAGACAATTTGTCTTTTTTGTACCCGTGAGTCTATATAAATGAGAAAGGTTCTTACAGATTTGGGGTAATAAACTAAGTAAAACCGAAGACAGCACTTTGCAAAACTAGTCGAAGCTGTGCAATGTAGATGTAAAACAGATGCTATTTCGCATCAAGCTCAGAGAAAAGAATATAGAAAAGAATACAAAAGACAGAGTTTATCAGAACAGGACTTATGGACATAAGTCTTCCTGCAACATCCGATGGGTTTTGAACAATTTTGGACGAACTAAATAACTCAGAAATGTGACTTAAGATGACCTGTAGTAGTTTTAATGGTACTATATATAGAGAAAAGCTGAGATTGGGATATTTTATAGAGCAGAGGGCAATCACACTGAGAATTCAATGGCATAGGTTAAGACTTGTTCTGTAGGGATCAAAGATTCACAAAAATCATGGAGAAACATGTGCATACTTACTACAAGGATATATAAAAATGAAACAGTGGAGGTTTCATAGGACGCAATCATGAATACAAGGCACTAAGTCTTGTAGAGTGAAACCAGAAAAACTATTGAGAAAAGTGCTAAATGAATACCGGTAGTACGTGTACGTGCTACACAAATTAGGATCTGACAAGCATTGAAAAAATCAAAGTACTCACAGCACAGTGCTTTAAGGCGGACTAACTAAATATTTTAATTAAAACTATATAAAACTATAATTAAAAACAAGATGTGTATTGAAACAGTGATGTCCGCAATTGGCGGTTTATTTTTTCTAGTTTAAAGTTTCTCAGTTTTAAGTCAATTAAACTTCAAGTTCAAGGAGTAAATAATGTTGGTAGTCGAACAAAGATTTTATCACAAGGAATAAATATGTGAAAAATATGTGCCCTAGCACAAACAGTTATTAAAGGGATGTCGCCAATGATGTTAAACAAAATTGGTACTCAAGAGAAGATAACGTCAAGAAAAATTCACTCGTGAGACATAAAAGCACACGTCACCTGTAACTATTCAAAAAGTATGGCCGAGATAAAGATTAGTGAAATTTTAAACAATCGTCACTCTTTTTTTCAAGACCCTTTTCCCTTTATTTTATCAAAACCTCAAATATTTAAAACGTCAATATCTCAGGTCCTGAAGTGACTTTATTATAAAAAAGTTATCCAACCAGGATCTGTTATTTATCATATCGATTATTTGTAACAATATTGATCGATCTTTACCTTTTATTTCAAAGTGCGTTAATATGGTCGATATCAACGCACTTTGAAAAAAAAATAAATTTTTTCAAAGTGCGTTAGCTTGGTCCCAAATTTAACGCACTTTGAAAAAAATTTTCAAAGTGCGTAATTTTTCAAAGTGCGTTGTAACATAGCGTCAAGAAAAATTCACTCGTGAGACATAAAAGCACACGTCACCTGTAACTATTCAAAAAGTATGGCCGAGATAAAGATTAGTGAAATTTTGCAAAGGTAGGTCAAAATTCATGGTCAATATCAAGATGTCAAACATACTGGTTCCAAAAGAAAAGTCTTGTCAAGCCATTTAAAAAATATGACCATATGCAAGGTCAAAGTTTTTTTTTTCTTTTATCAAGAGGAGGTCAAAATCAAAGGTCAAAAGGTACAAAGTCCCGGCTTTCTCATATACAGTGAATCTTTTGTGTCCCGTCCATATATGGAAGTATACAGAAAGATAGTCGTAAATCGTTATAAAAATGAAAGGAAAAGAAACTGCATGAGTAAATAAGCTAATACGTATTAATTTTGGCAACATTCAGTTTTCCGGATCCGTATTATATGCGAATTGTCCAGGCTTGTTTAAATGAATCCGAACAGAAGATAAAATTTAATTCCAGTCTCATGGAAGGGAAAAGATTGTGACCTTGACCTAATATTGCAAATTAAATTACGACGGTTAAAATAATAGGCGCTCCCCATGTAAATCTGTAAATGACGGAATATAAGTATATATAGGTCTACCCCCTCTATACTATAGTATATCATATTTCGTCATATACAGATTTACATGGGGAGCGGATATATTAATTATAGTATAGAGGGGGTAGACCTATATATACTTATATTTCGTCATTTACAGATTTACATGGGGAGCGCCTATGGTTAAAATCGGGATGAGTTGCATGCTAAATCATAACTTGAGAAAGTCGGCTCTTCCTCTCGATTAAGAGGTCTGGAATAGCCATGGCAGGCACTTGTGTCGGTAATAAATTTTTGACCCATAGTATAGAAATAACACTCTGTTATTATTATGCCCATGGGATAAAAAAAATGCTGAAACAGGTGTCTGTGCTAGGGTGGGCAACAGGTAGGTTATATTCTACAATGTATCTAGAAAAATTGTATCCAATTTTCAAAATATTTTTCCTATTGGTATATTTGGGTGACAAAGCTGAAATTGAGGGTGGTATGCATGGGGGAAATACTGGGTATTACGGTTTTATCGGTCAAAGCACAGCAATGGCTTAATTAGCACACGGCAGGTGCACATATGCTTACTCCTCCATGGCACCTGATCCTACCTCTGATGATTTAGAGGTCAGTGCTTGCTCCAAAATCGGATTGTATTGTTTAATGGACTTCTGAGCATGACTACTGTTCGTTATCTCCATAAACTGTATAGCTATATCTTTAGTCACAACAATAGAAGAACAATTTAATCTCTCTGATGATCCTAAAAGCCAATGAACCTCTTGTTATAAAAATTAAATGAACGTGAATTGTTATTACCCTTTCCTTTTAAAAACTGTTTGAATTTCTCTGTAAATTGCTCTTTAATTGTTTTTTTTTAAAAAAAATAAATGTATCGTAGTTTATTTTTAAAAAAGAAATCTAATGCATCATACAGGTCGAAACATTTATAGTACGTCTTATCTTTCAGAGAAGAGGCCGCCATCTTTGATTTCCAGAGAAGACGAGGTCGGGGGAAAAAAAGAGAAATTGAAAACGCCAATTTAAACGGAGAATACAGTAACTTTCATTGTATGTTGAAAATCAAGATCTATTGCTTGAAAAGTATTTGCAGATATTGTCACAGACGTGCTTCAAATCTTTTTTATGACTAGACAATGACCACCTAAAAGGCTAAACCATGCGAAACAAATTTGTAGAGAGAAGCAGTCACGCATTTAGCCTGTTAGCTGTCCTGAATTGAAATTCAATTTCTGCTGTGGTATTTTTAGTTTTTAAACATTCAATATTTTTTATGCAAACCGTCTTATTGTACGAATTATGTTCAACATTTTCTTCTTGTCTTTGCAGATTTTGATAGAATATCAGCTATGAAGCAAGAATATTAGCAAAATCATGTCTTTTAAGCGACCGACAGAAATTTCATGGGACAGGTAGATAGCAATATATTAACTACTAAACTATAGCCCTCTGTTTGAGAAAATTCAGACAGTTATAATGATATTAGAAAGCTAAAGATCCAAGCGAAAACCTTCGAGTTATGGTGATGTTTTTTTTTCACACTTTCTGAGGTAGCTGCAGAACTGTACTGTAGCTCTCTGCTTGAGAAAATTTGGACAGATAAAGCAGAGAGCTACAGATCCAAGCATTTTAAAAACTCTCGATTTATGCCATCTATTTTTTGTCGCTCACTTCAGGTATTATTTCTGGTATTTTATGCTTTCCCTTTAGAATTGTATCAGATAATTACTCAAATATTTTATTTTTATGATTGATACTTTGTTTCAGGGCTCCCACTGGACCGAAAATATTTTTCGCCACTTTTCGCGACAATAGGAAAGGCATACTTACTTCTGATTTCTCGACAATACAATGCACTTTATGTTATTCATTTTTTTATTATGTTTATCTGACACAGACATTGTTTTAAAATTATAATGTTTAAAGCTTTAATTATGGTAGTATCCATTTAAAAAAAAGAAAAAAAACTAATTATACAAATAATTTGATATTGAATTGATATCAGCCAACTCTTGACAGAAAATGTCCTCTTGTTTATATTTTTGCGCCTGGGAAGGGGGGGAGGGGGGGGGGGGGCTACAGACCTAGTAAAAATATGACATTTTTTAAAAATGGATCAAAATTTTCATCATTTCATTAATCAATTGTGAAAAAAAGTTATTAAAAAGTAATGAAAATTAGGTTTGAAACTTGACTTTATTATCAATTAATAACTTGGAGACTCAACATGCTCAAGGGTTTAATATGCAAGCTCATGTTATTGTAAATAATTCAGTGGAACTTACTAATTAAAGATAATTCTGTTTCCAAACCAATTTCTTTTTCACTCTTTTTCAGTTTATGGTATATTAATTTACACATTTTTCAATTTTCATTAGATAAAATTTGAAGCCATTCTTTACAATTTCCGTCATGTTTCCCTACTTTCGGTTTAAAAAAACGATTTACATAGACCCAGATTTTGTTAATAAAAATCTTTTATTTACTAACTTCATCTCCTAATAACACTTTATCCTCCCTTGTTTAATCCAAATTATATTTCAAGCAATTTTGTAACCCTTTATTGCTCCAGGCCAGTTACCTAGTCAGCTGTGTTCGTTCAAGCGAGACGTGACTTCCTACATGTAGGGTTCAGTTTTCAGACCTCATTAAATTAAATAAACAAAGGGATTTATCTGTATACATTGAATAAACAAAGGAGCTAACCAGGACTACACAAATTTTGTACATGGTACATCAAAATTCATTTTCGCCATTTATGAATTTCTTTTCGCCACTTTTGAAAAAAATTCGCATTTGGCGACAATGGCGAATCACAGCTCGAGCCCTGCTTTGTTTAAGGAATAACTGTCTTATTTTTCGATTTCATTATCTGATCAATCGATTGGCGTGCGTGATAATTTGCATAAACCATGGTTGTGGTTAACCATTTACATCCTAGGAGCCATGTGGGCCCCTTACTTTTCAAAGTTTAGGGGCCCACAATGTGATTTACAGGCCCACATACCTCATCAACAAAATATTTGAAAATTCTGCTTTTCTAAACCGCCACATTATTGGTTTCACTAGGGCATACGTCTAGGTCATGCAAGTGCTTGTATCGTATACAAATATAATAGTTTGCACACGACACCAAAAGTCTTGGTTAGCGTAGTGTTTGTTATGAAAAAAGGAAGTGGATTATAAAAATACAAACAAAGCTCGGTCATGTTCCGGGAACAAGACGCTCGCCATGTGGGCGATCAAATTTTGATTTCTTCATCGCCCACTTGAAATTTTAATCGCATTGGCGAGTGGGCGAGTGGTTAACCACAACCGTGATAAACACCAAAGGCATTTATGCATAAAATTATCATGCAAGCCAATTGATCAGGGCTCGAGCTGTGATTCGCCATTGTCGCCAATTGCGAATTTTTTTCAAAAGTGGCGAAAAGAAATTCATAAGTGGCGAAAATGATTTTTTTTAGATGTACCATGTACACAAATTGTATAGTCCTGGTTAGCTCCTTTGTTTATTCAATGTATACAGATAACTCCCATTGTTTATTTAATTCAGCAGAGGTGTGAAAATTGAAACCTACATGTAGGAAATCACGTCTCGCTTGAACGAACACAGCTGACTAGGTAACTAGCCTGGAGCAATAAAGGGTTACAAAATTGCTTGAAATAATATAACTTGGATTAAACAAGGGGGGATAAAGTGTTATTAGGAGATGAAGTTAGTAAATAAAAAAAACATTTATCAACAAAATCTGGATCTATGGAGATCGTTTTTTTTTTTTAACCGAAAGTAGGGAAACATTCCAACTTTATTTATTTTTTTAAATGGACACTACCATAAGCTTTAAACATAACAATTTTAAAACAATATCTGTGATAAACATAATAAAAAAAGGAATAACATAAAGTGCATTGCATTGTCGAGAAATCAGATGTAATAATGCCTTTCATTTTGTCGCGATAAGTGGCGAAAAATATTTTCGGTCCAGTGGGAGCCCTGCAATTGATTGATCATCGTCATGAAATTGGAAAATCTGACACTTATTCCTTATATATACATGGGATTGATTCCGCCAATTCACGTGCTAGAAGCCCCGCTTCTTGACCCTATTTGTCCTGCCCCGCACGTGATTTTTTTTTTTACCCGCCCCTATCGATTAACCAGTACATAAATGGGTATATAAAGTACATTAACTATTTGTAATGTTTTCTCGAACAAAGACATTGGAAATGTAAGTATTTACCTTTCAACGGTCGGAAACAGTCATTAATGGTTGAGAAATTTGGGTTTTAAAAAAATCTCATTTTAACATTCCTTACCAAAGACAGCCTTTTGGAACTGTTGAAAGGTAAATAAAATATCAGGAATAAGATATGAATTAATGGCTAATGATCATATACCACAATTAAGGCTGATGAAAGCATAAAATACCAGAAATAATAATTAATATAGGAATTGAGTGACAAAGAATCGGTGGCATAAATTGAAGGTTTTTTACAACGCTTGGATTGGTAGCTCTCTGCTTTATCCATCCGAAATTTCTCAAACATCAATCCTTACTTCTCTCCTATACTGATACTTGACTTACCCATCACTGCCTCCAAATAGCCCTGTAGTATAGGGCCGTAGAATGTTAAGTATTTAAAATTCAACCACTGTGTAGTGTTCTAAATGTTGTTTGCACTTTAAAGAGGCTGGTCTATTTTAAAAGTTATTTGGTATCCAGTAATACACAATTTCTCTCGCCCCAACAATCATAGCATCAACATATTACTGTCTGTCAGAGGTGCCTTAGTGTCAAACCCTGTTCATAATCTGAGTAACTTGGTATCATTGTTTATTTTCATAATTTGATTATAAAATTTAGCATGGAATTAGAAATGTTTTGGATGTTTGATATGAGCCTGAACTTTGTTGAATTATACCCAGACAAGTACATAAATTACTGGTAAACTGTTTTGATAGTGTATGGTTTCTTTTTAGCTCACCTCAACGAAGTTGGGGGGAGCTTATGTGATACCCTCGGCGTCGGCGTCCCAGGTTAAGGTTAAGTTTTTTGGAGCAGTTTTCTTTTTAATTACTTCTGTGTCCTATACTGATTAGACATGCATGGAAGATGGTTTTAGTGTGTTTTATTGTACCAGACAAAGTTTCAGATGCTGCAATTTCAGCAAAGGAATTACCAGGTTAATGTTTTTGGAGCAGGTTAACATTTTTGGTGCAGTTTTTGGTGTGGGTTTCATTTCCAAGTAACTATAAGCCCTATGTTGACCAAACTTGCATGGATGATACATCTAAGGATGCATACTACCGGGCTTGCTTCGGATGCTGAATCTGACCTACATTTTCCGGTTGAGTGAACAGGTTAAAGTTTTTGGTGTAGGTTTCATTTCCAAGTAACTATAAACCCTATGTTGACCAAACTTGCATGGATGATACATCTAAGGATGCATAGTACCGGGCTTGCTTCGGATGCTGAATCTGACCGACATTTTCCGGTTTAGTGAACAGGTTAAAATTTTGGTGCAGGTTTCATTTCCAAGGAACTATGAGTTCTTTAATGACCAATCTTGCATAGATGATACATCTAAGGATGCATACTACCGGGCTTGCTTCGGATGCTGAATCTGACCTACATTTTCCAGTTGAGCGAACAGGTTAATGTTGTTGGTGCAGGTTTCATTTGCAAGTAACTTTAAGCCCTATGTTGACCAAACTTGCATGGATGATACATCTAAGGATGCACACTACCAGGCTTGCTTCGGATGCTGAATCTGACCTACATTTTCCGGCTGAGTGATTAGTTAAAAGTTTTTGGTGCAGGTTTCATTTCCAAGTAACTATAAGCCCTATGTTGACCAAACTTGCATGGATGATACATCTAAGGATGCATACTACCGGGCTTGCATCGGATGCTGAATCTGACCTACATTTTCCAGTTGAGTGAACAGGTTAAAATTTTGGTGCAGGTTTCATTTCCAAGTAACTATAAGCCCTATGTTGACCAAACTTGCATGGATGATACATCTAAGGATGCATACTACCGGGCTTGCTTCGGATGCTGAATCTGACCTACATTTTCCAGTTGAGTGAACAGGTTAAATTTTTTGGTGCAGGTTTCATTTCAAAGTAACTATAAGCCCTATGTTGACCACACTTGCATGGATGATACATCTAAGGATGCATACTACCGGGCTTGCTTCGGATGCTGAATCTGACCTACATTTTCCAGTTGAGCGAACAGGTTAATGTTGTTGGTGCAGGTTTCATTTGCAAGTAACTTTAAGCCCTATGTTGACCAAACTTGCATGGATGATACATCTAAGGATGCACACTACCAGGCTTGCTTCGGATGCTGAATCTGACCTACATTTTCCGGTTGAGTGATTAGTTAAAAGTTTTTGGTGCAGGTTTCATTTCCAAGGAACTGTGAGTTCTTTAATGACCAATCTTGCATAGATGATACATCTAAGGATGCATACTTCCAGGCTTGCTTCGGATGCTGAATCTGACCTACTTTTTGTGGATGAGTGAAAATGTTAGTTTTGATGCATGTTTCATTTCCAATAAACTATGAGCCCTATAATGAGCAAACTTGCATGGATGATACATCTAAGGATGCACACTAATGGACTTGCTTCGGATGCTGAATTGGACATACATTTTTCATATATTAGACAAGGTAAAAGTTATGGTTGCAGGTCTATTACCAAAAACTATAAGGCTTATATAACATTGTATAAACCAAACTTGCACAAATGCTGCATCAAGAGATGAAAACTCTCAAATTTGCTTCAGATGCTGGATTTTCATTACATTTTCATGAAGAAGAAGTAGTTTAAATTTTTTATGTAGGTCTATTTCAAAGTATCAGATCAAAATTGCTTTTAAAAATATTTTCATTTTTGGAATGTATACTTTTTGTTGGTTAATTGTGTGACTTTGCCTTACTTAAAGACAACATTCGTTGAGGTGAGCTCTGTAATCTCTGATTACCTATGTTTTCTTCTGCAGTGATGAAGATGATGAGCTTTTAAGTATCAACACAAAGTTCAAGGTATGGCTACTTATAGATTTATTTAAAAAAAAAACTTATCTCATCCTGAAATGAACTCTGACATTTATATGAATTTCAGTATATAATTTAATATATAGAAAATTGATTTTATATGCCCTGCAGCTAGAAAAAATTAATGTCTGTGAGAGTGAAAAATTAACATATTTTGTGTTTTATAATGAATGTTTTCAGTTCTCAGAATTTTGAATAATATTTAACATGATCACAAAGACCATTTTATGAATAATAATATACATGTATATTTAAAATTTTAAAGAAAGCTTGTTCTGGAATATGATATAATTTGTAATTTTTATACTTTCCTGAATGTGAATAGTAGTCAATCATAAGACAAAAAACAGTTTTGGTGGATTTGCATTTTATTTGATGAAAATTAAATGTATATTATTAAGAAACGTGTGAATTAGAAATAATGGATCTAGCAAGGCCTAAATTAAAATATTGTTTGTTTGTCCTTAGCTGACTGACCCACGAAAATTAGACCCTCTCAAAATATTTTATTCCACTTTTCAATTACACATTTTTTTTATTGTCAATAGATATTTCTCTATGTACTAGTACATTTTGTTCCATGAAGCGTAAGTTTCAGTAACAAAGAATATCTACATGAACATATTGATTTTATTTTTATTTTAATAGTAATCTGATTTGAAGTCAAGAAGAAAAAAATGAAATATTGTTCCTACCTACCTACCCATTCCTAAAAATCTGGGTCGGTAAATGGCAAAGAAACATATTTTAAATTATGGCTCAAAGTAAATTCACAGTTTCAAAGGACTTCACTGTAATCCAGTTTTACTGTATTGTGATATATTAATGACTAGAGTGTTTCTAATTTTTGATGACAGGCAGATGATGATGAGGAATTAGATGAAGATGCTTTATTAGAGTCTGATGATGAATCATTGCCGATTCCATCAAAACCACAGACATCAGTTACCGAGAATAAGAAATCCCTGACCTCAACAAATAAACCTGTCAAATCTCTCAACTCAAGTGTTACAAACAAAGTGCCCAATAAAACAACCATCAGTAGAAATGGAGTGCCCAGTGATAATGTGTCTACAAAGAAAACAGGAAACACAGGTTCAGGAGCAAATTCAGCTAAACAAAAGATAACCCCAATTGTGTAAGTTTTCTAGAATTTCTTGGCAGAAGCTCTTGTCAAAACAAATTTTCCCCATTTAAACAGATTTTTGAACAGTAACATTTTATCCGAAGACGTGTAAGATGGATTATTGAAATGATCTGTTTTATCTTAGAATTTTTTTTTCAGATTTAGTGATCCTGAACCAGAACCAGTGCTTATCTTGGAGGATCCAGAGGAAGATTTTGAATTTGATGATTCTGGAGTGACAGAGGCAATTCTGGACAGCAGTCAGGTTGGGTCACAATTAAAAAAATCTAAATTTTTATTCACAAGGCAACTACGAGGGTTGATCCAAAAGTTCGTGGAATTTCTTCATAATTTATTCATTTTTAAGTGGAATTGGTTGAAAATTACAAATGAAATTATAGACACTTGATGAATATTTTAAATTGAAAAACATTTAAAATATCTTTGATAGTAACTCTATGGCAATTGCCATAGAAACGGTTGTTTGGAAATGCGGGGGAGACATCAACGCGTTTATTATAGTTTAAATTCTTAATACGTGAAATGAGAATTAAACAGCCTTATGTGGTATATAAATCCAAAATTATGTCATTATTACGATTGCTTGATCTTTTATAAACCTTTGTGTGAGAGTTTTACTGAATTTACTGGACATTTAGTTTATAAGTTGATGATTTATTGTTCATCTTTAAGTTATTAGACTACGTCAAATTTCGGTCAAGTCATACGTTTTGTAAAAATCCCGGGATCACTCTATCTTAAACGCGTATATTATTGACATAGGCTTGGGAAAAATGCATTTAGCTACTGGTTTCCTAGTGGCATAAGAAATTTAGAAAAATAGAACTTCCATGGACGTTGATTAAAGGCGTGGTCCGCTTTTGGGGGGGCTCTGTTTTAAGTGCGTATCCCCCTAGACAAATTTAAAGCGTTAATGGACGTTGCCGGTTGCCGTGCTGTCCTTGACATTGTTACTGAAATTGGAACATCATATGGAAAGATGGGTAGTATTTTGAAATATGAGTGAAAAATGAAGATAAGTTGGTGCAAGAGGATAATTATGCTTTTCTTGAGAAAAAGAAAATGGAGAAAAGGGCGGTATTTTGTAGAAATACATAGTCAAATTGGACATTAGGGCTTGATGCCTCTATAACGCGACGTGGCATATACAACTTTACGTTACGTCGAAGTCTCCCCCGGGTTTCACAACATTCCATTTTCAGAAAGCTCGTGTGACCTTATTGGTAATTGGAAAATGATGAAATTTTCCAATATTGTTGCATTATGACTCCATATTATTAACATGCCTGTTGTTTGCTTTCATCTAATCACTATGAAATTTTACGAAGAAATTCCACGAACTTTTGGATCAACCCTCGTACACTTGCAAAAGCAATCTTCTGTTTTCATCAGACAATTGCCACTGTTCCTTTATTCCTGGAATTTAAAAATTCTGATTTGAGAAAATTTGTTTCACAGGGGGAAGAGCCGGAAAATTTTAAGTTTACTAAACCATTTGAAGTAAGTTCAAAGTCTGCAGTGCATACACCACATGTGGTGGTCAGTCAGAGAGAGGAGGAAGGCATGGAGGACCAATCAGATGTCTCCAATTTAGAGGTACAAAAAGAGATCAGGGCATTTGATTGACAGGTTTACATTTTCAAAACTGCAGTTAATTCTTTTATAAAAATTAATCAGGGCATTATCAGAAAGTCTTTTTATAAAAGCAAGATTTATTTTGATTTCACATATTGATCATGTTGATACTTTATTTTTTTTAAACTAAATGTTAAAATCATGTAAAAATGTAAATGTAAAAATTCATTTACATGGAATTATTAAAAACTTGCATGTTATTGGACAACAATAAAAGTTTAAATCACATTAAAGAGATGTTAATGTTATGAACATTTTGGTTTTAGGTCTTTTGTCATAAAAAAAATTTTGTTTGCAGGTGTCTGTGGACAGAGGTCAGGAAAGCAGTGAAGAAAGCGAGGAAAGTGATCATGAGGACGATAGGCGAGGGCGATTCAGGACCGAACGTCAGCAGACTGTCAAACTGACCAATCACAAACTGGGAGGAGATATTCCAGATACTCTAGGTAAGTCCAAACTGACCAGTCACAAACCAGTAGGAGATATTCCAGATACGCTAGGTAAGTCCAAACTCAATTTTTAAAATCCAAAATCACAAACCAGTAGGAGATATTCCAGAAACAATGGGTAAGTCCTGACCAATCAAACCAGTAGGAGATATTCCAGATACATTGGGTAAGTCCTGACCAATCACAAACTAGGAGGAGATATTCCAGATACATTGGGTTAGTCCAAACTGACCAATTATATACCAGTAAGAGGTATTCCAGATACATTGGGTTAGTCCAGTTTGACCAATCACAAACCAGTAGGAGATATTGATAATTCCAGATATGCTAGATAAGTACAAACTGAGCAATCAAAAACCAGTAGTAGATATTCCAGATACATTAGGTAAGTCCATATTGACCAATCACAAACCAGTAGGAGATATTCAAGATACATTGGATAAGTCCAAACTGAGCAGTCACAAACAAGTAAGAGATTTTCGAGATACATATCAAACTATTCAGAATATGTCAATGCTTGATGCATATTGATGTAAAAATGATATTTTCAGAAATATCCAAAGAACAAGAAGAAGAGATAGAGCAGTTCAATAAATCCCATAATAAGTCCCACAGAGGGCGGGGCAGGGGTAGAGGTGGAATGTCAGGGAGGGGAGGATATCCAGGAGGGTCTCAAGGAAGAGGAGGCTTCTCCAATAGAGGAGGCTTCTCAAACCGAAATGGTCCCCAGAGGAGGGATTTGGATCAGAGAGTTCCACCAACTAATCATAATTTCCAGCATAACCACTACCCAACCAGTTTTTCACAGGAACTCCCTCCTCCACTGAGCCAGCCTCAGCAGGTTAGTGTAATTCAACATATTTTGATTTAGAAAAGAGCTATTGATACTTGAATTTTCACATGATTATGAAAAAAGTTTGACACCTTTTTATAGGTCAAAAAGGTGAATTCATTGTGTTTCGTCCGTCGTCACGTGGTGTGTTAACATTTGAACATTTTCAGCTTCTTCTCTGAAACCACTGAACCAATTTCAACCAAAGAATGACTGCACTTAAGCTATGAGAGTTGGATCCCGATGTTTTGCGCAAAATAAAATTCCAAAATTCATTAAATGTATGTTTTATAGGTATTGAACAATATCTTACGAGCAGGTTTTGGTATATTATATTACATGAAAGTATTAATTAATGCCGAGGGACACTAGCTTTTGAGACAGGGGTCTAACAGTTTTGTATCATTTCTATTGTTATTCATATGCATATCAGTTTTCAACGACTTTGTTTACATCGAGCTGCAACTTGGCCATTTTTCTTATTTGCACAGAATGTATATTTTAACTTAAACTTATACATATCCAAAGGACAATGTTGGCCAAGTTGCGGCTCATATCTAATTTTAAAAAAAATGTCCCCAAACTAGGGTCGAGATAGCTACTAAATTAACAGGTCACCGAGCATCAGCGATTGATATTATAATTACCTTACTCACATGACATTCTGCTGATCGATACGCTAACGCTTTCATTGAAAATTTCATTGTGTTTAAGTCTCTGTTTTGACAGTATCTATCGCGTACTTCCAAATTCAAACTATGGGAGATTTTTGCGCAAATTTTAAGATAAATAAATATGTCTCTTATTTAACTTTATGCTCTTCATTAGGGGTGTTTTGAAAGAATTCTGGTATTGACATTGTCATTTGAGTAAGTACAAGTATAGGCTTATGTCGCCTCTATACTATGGTCTGCAGAGCGATCGAGACATCTACCCCATCCCTTAATATTATAATCATTTAATAGTTGTGCACAATAAAATCAACACGATCTCTCTCTTCTCCATTTAAATTCATAGTGCGAAAAAATCATTTGCCAATGTTTACATTCCACAACCAAGCGGTTTAAATGTCTCCGCCTATATGTGGATACCTTAGATTCGAAAGTGACCCCTTTCAAATTTCCGGAATTTAAGGCTTTTACATGTTCTTTTCAATTACATTTTCTGTAATTATAGAAATATATATGACAAAAAATTCTGGAAATAAATATCAAAAGCATATGCTTGCACATTAATTATAGATTAATTTTGTGATATATTGTAATGTTAAGCTTAAAATAGTCAGCCAAAAAGGTTCCAAATGACGTTCTTAAGTGCACTCATTCTTTAGTATACAGCATCTATGGCTGAAGGGGAACAAAAATTGTGAATTTTACGGTCCCCGCCCCCTTGGGGCCTGAGGGGTGGGGCCAAAACCACCAAAATTATTGCAATCTTTAAAAATCTTTTACTCCTGGACATCAAGCAGTCAAACTGTTGGCATGATTGTCATGAGCATTGAGTTCTACCAAAATTGTGAAATTCATGGCTTAAACTTGTGCTAGGGCGGGGCTATATAGATTATATAGTGAAAATGCATTATTTCTTTGAAAATCTTCATTCTGCTCTTGGGTATTAAGTAAACTAACTAAGTACATAGTTATGTTGTCAAGTCATTCCAAAATTTTGAATTTTATGGCCCCAGGGTCAGGGGTTCTGGTGTTAGGGTGGGGCTCTGTTGATCATATAGTGAAAATGCATTTATTCTTTGACAATCTTCTTCTCTACTCCTGGGTATTAAATAAACTAACTAAGCACATAGTTATGATGAGCAAGAGTGTCACTTTCAAAATTGTGAATTTTATGGCCCCAGGGTTGGATTCTGGTGTTAGGGCGGGGCTCTATTGATCATATAGTGAAAATGCATTAATTCTTTGAAAATCTTCTTCTCTGCTTCTGGGTATTAAATAAACTAAGTAAGTACATAGTTATGATGAGAAAGAGTGCCTCTTCCAAAATTGTGAATTTTATGGCCCCAGGGTCAGGGTTTCTGGTGTTAGGGCGGGGCTCTATTGATTATATAGTGAAAATGCATTAATTCTTTGAAAAATCTATTCCTTTGCTCTTGGATTTTATGCCAATGATCTAAGTATATATATATTTGTTATGAAGAAAGGTGCATCTAGCAAAAGGGTTATTTTTTATGCCCCTTGGGTCGGGGGTGGAGGGGGGTGGATGGTAACATAGTCTGAAAATAAATTAATGCTTTGAAATCTGCTCTTTAGTATTAATCAACCATTTTATGATAAAATTTGCAAAATTTTGAAATATGTGGCCCCAGGGTCAGTGGTTCCTTTGGGGTGAGGTGCACAACTGGTTATAAAGTGGAAGTGCATTTTCTCTTTGTTACTCTGATCTACCTCTGGGTATTAAGTAAATAGAGAAAGCATGAAAATATTAAGTTTATAATTATGATAAGCAATGGTGCCTCTTTCAAAATTGTGAATTGTGAATTTCATGGCCTCTGGGGTAAAACTAAACAAAAAAATTTTAATTATTTGAAAGTTGTTACATGATACTCAGGTGACCTATAAGGCCCATGGGCACTCTTGTTGATTAAAAAAATTCATTGTGTTTGTAGGACACATTTAATGATTTCATAAAAAGGAAAGGTTGTAACTTCTTTTATCATAATTACATTTCCAGAGCCTCCCTCCTCCTGCTTCAGTTCCCCAGAAGATTCACATAAACCCTCATTTTAAATGTTATGCTCCCTCCCAGACAAGGAGATAGCATTGGCGACCCCATGATACCCCCTTGCTCAGACCCAGGGAACCCTCCATGATGCTACAGCCCAGAGCTCCCATAGTGCAATCTTACCACAGGTAAAATTGATATTCATCAGAGATTTTATTTTTTTGTTTTTTTTTAAAAGTCTTATATTTAAGTTATTTTAGTTTTATTCAAGTTCTTTTTAAGAAGAAACTCATGAGCATTTAAAAAAAGAATAATTCTAGAGGAGGTTTAATTTAAATTCTGACAGAGTGTTCCCTGGACCTCGCAGTCTAACCCTCAACCAATATTCAGCAGACCTCCACACCCACTGCCTCCCCACCAAATGCAGGATCCCCCACATCATCATCACTATGCAGGTAAGTCATGGAGATTATAGATTACTGTAACCAACTCTTGTGAAATCACAAAAAATAGCCATGAATTTCTCTACCTACTTTAACTTGTGAACCATTTAATATTGTGCTTTGCAGAGAATGTTTCCTCAGTCATGAAAATTAATTGATATCAAATTGACAAATCAGTGAAATCACAAAAGATGATCAAGGGCTGACAAATCCCAATTGTCTGACGCCCGGGGCTAGTGAATTTTAGAGGTGGGAAAGTGGATTTTTAATAGGCACTTGTCTGTGGGCAAGTGACTTTAAATAAATCATTCAAAATGTTATAGTTGTACACGAAATTGAAATTATTTTGTTGTAAGAGTTATCTTCCTTTGTCACTCTTCGTATGCAAACCACTTTAATTTTGTCATCAAATCATGTATCTTGTCTCATTTACCGAAAGTTTCAAGTACATGTATTTGTACTTAAATTAGCATTGGAGAAATGGAGAAAGTTTTGACAGTTTTGAAGGACATAAATCAACATACAATCAACCAATCAATCGACAGCCTGTATGGTAATAGTATTTATACTGGCAGGGGGTTTTAAATACATGTATCACCAATAATCAAAACAACATGTTCGAGGTTGTAAAATTTTTCGATTTGATGAGGAAATAATTCATTGTGATGATTATGAAGTGCTGGATAGTACACAACAAGAAAAGAATTAAGGGAAGTATGTTTTATTGTTTAAAATGAAATTGAAATTATTTTGTCATAAGTGTTGTCTTTAATTTATAGTTTACGGTGGGACAAGTAAAAATTGAAGTAGGACAAGGGAAATTTGACCATGCACTTGGCCATGGGCAAAATCTATTTGTCGTCCCCAATGATGCAAATTATAGTTGGCTTACAGCAACACTGTTGAAAAGTGAATGTGTTTGGGGGAGGGGGTATAAAGATGTACATAAACAGGTTATCTCTGCCCTCTACAAGGTAGAGTACCTGCCATACTTCCTCAAGAATTTTTTTTAAAGACATTGAAGTTTTAATGAGCAGAAATAACTGTTGTTTAGTGACATTAAATAAAGGAAAACTAATGTAAAGAAGCAAGCATTCTGAGAGCATTGCATAAACAGTACATAAGCAACTTTAATTTAGTGCATAACAAACCCAATTGTAATCCCAATTATGAAAAATTAATAATGCCATAATTCCGTCAAAAGTCAATGAAGGAAAACGAAATTCAAACTTGATCTGTAACTCATCAAGATACAATCACATACTAAAAGTCAGCTCAATATCTGCAAGCATTTAGAAAAAAAGTGTGGAAAACCAAGAAGGACAGACTGACAGCGGGACATCAGACACCCAGTCCCCTCTGGTTTTACCTGTAAGGGACAAATATATTTTCTAATTACCGGGTACTTTATCTCATCTAATATACAGTTAATTTATCTCATCTAATATACAGTTAATAAGACTATAATTTAATCTGTTATTTTAATTGGATCAACTACCGTAAATCTGGAAATTTCATGTCGATTTTTTTTTTTTTATTTGGGTCAAAAAGCTGTTGATTAATTTTTACAGTTCAAAATTTTATGAATTGTCACTGGTGGTAAAAATAAAATCACTGAAGATTTTCATATCAGGTATGTTTCAAATTAATATGCACAGTTAGAATACCACCAAATACTCACAACGTCCGAAACAATTTTGATAAAAATACAAAAGGATTTGCACTGAAAATAATTTCTAAATCAATTATAACTCAAACATTTTAGGTGTTGTGAATGCCTTTTAAGCTACAATATAATCCAAATGAAGAAAAAATTATAACTAATTTTCTCAACGTTTGGTTTTTTTCTCACCTAAAATTTACACGCCGTGTTTACATTTGGAACTCTCTAGTTAATGCACTGAGTATGAGTTATCGCCTGTGTTGATACACGGTTAGATAAAATAACAGTTCTCTCTTTATTGGCAAGATAATTAAAAAGGGGCACACCTCCTCAGTGCTTGTCAAACCATCGGACGGTATTGCATATAATAAGGGCAATTTACATGCACGGGTAATTAACTTGTAGTTATACATGTAGTAGTATAAACAGGTTTCTCTTAAAAATGACTAGTGCTTACCGACACTTATTCACTGAGTTAAAAAAAGACACGAGCTCTCAGAAAAAAAAATTCTTCACATCTTGATTTATTTTTAAGAAAATATTTTTGCGAATGCAGTGCACGTGCAAATTTGCTAAAAATTTATCTACAGAAGAAATTTCCAGATTTACGGTATATTTATCCGCAAATGGGGAGCAAAGAACTATATGCGGTATTAACCAACATTTGCCCCCCAAAATCAAACTTTGATGGAGTAATATTTAATTAAGTCCTTACAGGGGAGTATATGTTCCAAAGCACTGAATAATTTAATCATATGTTAATGACGTCACAAATATGACGTAAATTTCAGTTTTTTATGAATTTTGCAGAAAAATGTATATATTTCGTATATTTTAAATAAAAGTCACCGAGCGCATGTGTGTTCAGGATAAATATTTTGATATAATGTGTAGAATGATAATATCAATGAAATATGTCAATATTGTTCCTGAACACACATGCGCTCTATAAATTTTAAAGCTTAAATTGTTGAAATTTTGTCCATTTTGTCCTCTTTCTGAAAAATGGCAATATCATAAAAACAGAAATTGTGAATACACTGCTCTGGAACTATAATATTTTCTGTTAACTTATATTTCTCGTACAATTTATTGAATTCAGCACATTTCAGGAAGTTTTCAAAATTTGACTTTTGTGGGGGCAAACATATGCAATATACCGCATATAGTTCTTTAGTTGCTCCACCTCGCCTTGGATGGCAATATCACAGTTTGCACTTTGGCCTCACTTTGAAAGTGCATTTGTTGATGCATGGTAAACTGTGTACACTGCTAGGTAAACATCCACATTTTTAAAAAAAAATCATCTTTGATTAAATTTAGAGAACTTTGAAACGAAATTTCTGAAATTTTTTTTTCATTTAATCATCATTTATTGACAAAATTCACCATAGATGGACTAAATTACCTTAAATTCTATTAAAAGAAAGACAACTCTAAGCATTTGCAAAATCATGAAATACATGTCTACCCCCTTTCTTTGATATACGTCAGATATGTCATTACTTCAAGGCCATTCTCCAGGAATTTTTATCACCACCTGATAATAACAAGGACATGATTTAAAAGTTGTATAAAGACAGAAACAAGTCAAACATGAAGACATCATGTTGGATACAGGTTCATGGTAAACTCTATTCATTAGACATTTGACACATATTTTCTCCTTATTAGCTCATCAGCCTCCTCCAAGGCAGAATGATCCCTACCCAGCATTCTCTGGTGGACCACCATCTCATGCTCATCAGGCCCCCCACCATTACGTGGGACCTCACCACCACCAGGTACCACACGGTGGCCCCCCTCCCTTCCATGGACAGCAGTACCCGCCAAGGGAGCAGTACCGTCCCTCCGGGCCCCCACCTCAACCACTGATGGGACAACCCAACCATCAGTTTCCTGCCCCCCATCACCCCCCACAACCTCAGGTCAGGGTGGAACCCCAGCATCCACCACACGTACGGATGGGACCCCCACCCCATCAACCTCAAAGTGGACCCCCGCCACAACATCAACAATACAATCCACAACATTATCAGGAACAAAGGTAAATACACAGTTACACTACGAGGGGAACAAAGAATACTTTATATTGAACAATTTTAGTACTGTAGACATACTTTTTTCCACGGGGTCATAATTCCGCGGAATCTCTAATTCTTTTCAATCCGCTGGTAGAAAATTACGCGAATATCTTAGACTCTCCTTATATGGCTTATATTTGTATTAAGTTCGATGGGATAAATTTCCGCAGAAAATTTGTGACAGCGTACATAGCGTAAATAAATACCATGCAGAAAAAAGTACTTCTACAGTATCTGAAAGACAGAGAAAATAAAGCAATCAGGTCTATTATTAAAGTTATGATCAGGTCTTATAAGAAATTGAAGGACTTCTCGATGATGGATCATTCAAATGTTATATATTGATGTTTTAAATTGAGCCTTGTAATGGACATTTAAGAATGATTAACATGTCAAAAATTGTATGTGTGAATACAGGTTTCCTAACCCACAACATGCCCCAGAGCCGCACGTCAGACCCGATTTCCACCCCTCTCACCAGACACAGCAGCCGCCTCCGAGATTTCAGCCGAGAGTGGCCCCAGGGTACCAGTCCCGACCCCAGAGATTTCAGTCTCAGGGACAGAGAATGCCTCAAGGTCCCAATACTGGACAGAATAATGGAGCACCTAGACAACCTGTTAACAAGTAAGTCGTGAATCGCCAAAAAGATTATCTGTGATGTAGATCAAGGATAGTTCAGGTTTGTATTGTACATGTATCTATAGTGCAGTTTTATTTAAAGCAGGTTCCTCTGACTTGTATGATATCTACTGCTACTTTGTAAAAAAAAAATTCAAGGTACAGTCTTTTGATCATTTGATATGTTAGTTGCTGAAAGGTTGTGTGAACAATTGATCTTCTAACTGTTGTAGTTGTTAAAGACGTGGGTAATTTTCTTTCAGTCCAAAACAAAATGCTTTATTGTTGGCACATGCCAAAAAGCTGAGAGATCGTGCAAAGAAATTTTCACAGAATACTCCTATAGTAGTCCCCAGTAAACCTAAGAAGAGGCCCTCAACAGAAGTGATAGTGGAGGGAAGTATTGAGCCTTCCCCAATAAAACAAACGAAAGTAGAAACCAAACCATTGGTAAGTATTTCAGTGCATTGGATTGATAATGCATACATCCCTATCACTGTGTTACTTCAGTGTATTTCAACAACAGAATAAAATTTAAGAATTGTTGGAGAACTTAAAAATAATAAACGGACCATAAATTGAAGTTCAAGCAGAGACAAATTTTGTTTATATAAAGATTAAAATAAACACGAGCAAAACCAAGTTGTACATGAAATAGAATTGAAAAAACTGATGTGAATTAATTTAATTGACAGAACATGGACTGCTACATGAATATTTATACTGTCTGTGAATTACATGTTGAAATGTTTTTATCAGACTCGAGAGGACAAGGAGCTACAAGAAAAGCTAGCACTGCAGGCTGAACAGAGAGAGTATATAAGGCGAAAAAAGGAGGCCAATAGACAGGCACTGGCCCAGAAAAAACGAGAAGAGTTAGCTCAGCGGCTAGCAGGGACAGGTACTACTTCTATACGCAAAGTGTAGTTCTTTGAAGTCATCATCATGTTAGTGATTTTCATTGATCATCCTTACCAGGAAATTCAGAGCACCATATCCGCATCAGTAAAAGAAAACACTGTTCACATTTATTTATTGAGCTCGAGATTGTAACTCTCCTTCGATAAGCAAAAAGCTTTAAAGCTCTTGTTTTTTGTTATATGTATATAGACTGACTATAAATAAAATTTACTAGGCAAAAATTTTCACATTAATTTATTGAGTCTTTTGAACATATGAGCTAATTCTGAAATTGCATCCCCTAGAAGCAGTAAAATTTTGGTAACTCATGAACATTGATCTTCACATATACAGTGATTACGCAGTATTTATGAAATTCAAGTAAATCTAGTAGATTCTATCATTCTAGTTTTTCATCTTATTGTATTTTCTTTGAGTGCTATAATATGGTACTTGTACAATTATCAGTCATTCTTTTCACTTTAATCCCTATTCTTCAAATTTTATTAAAAAGGTAAAATGCTCTCATCACTAAAAGATATTTAACAAATATATTTTGATGTGCTTACTTTTAGGTCAGACATTAGAAGACATTGAGCAAAGCTCAACTACAAGTGGTCCCGTACAACAACAGGTTCATAATAAACCAGTACAGGGCAATGTGGCTCTTAAAAAGACAATACAACCTATACACACCCCACAAGCTGGTCAACAGATCCAAACAGTGCAGTCAAATCAAATCAGATTTCAGAATACTCAGGTCTCAAAAACCCCTCAGAGGAATCCTCAGAAAAAAATCGTGAACCTTAATAAAGGTGTTCATAAACCAGCAAATGCTCAAATGACAACCAACAAAACTCTAGCAAGTCCTACAAAGAAACTAATGAAGAGGATAGAAACTGTAAAGAAAAATGCTCAAGGAGAAATCATATCTCGAGAAATAAAGCTCGTTCCTATAGAGGATGAAGGGGTCATTAGTGAGCAGACTTCGGTCACAAATCGAGGGCAGGTCCAGGTGGTCAAGAAGAGCACTATGGTCACCTCTACTGAGGGTCAGCAAGCAGGAAACAGAACTGTGGTCAGCGGGAACAGGTCGGTCATCACCCCAGGGTCCGGCAACCGGTCTGTCATCAGGTTAACTCCAGACAGCGGGCAGGGTGATGAAGGGGACCTCAGAAATGTGGTCAGTCAGCAGACTATTGGAAGGGTAAAGAATTGTGATTCACTCTTAAATTTAAGTACACTGTATAACATTACCTTAGTGAGATATCAGACTTTTTTATTCACATGTATATGCAAGAAATTTGTCAAGTTGACTTAACATGAAAAATATTTTTTTATATTCAGAGAATTGTTGTGAAATCCACTCCTAAATCAGTGATGGTGAAGAATCTGTCTATTTCTACATCAGACTCCATCATCAAGAATCTCTGCACAACAGTGGGTCCAGTAGAGGTATGTTATTTATAAACACTAAAATCCTTTTAATATATCGTAATTTACGGAATATATGTCGATACTTTTTTTCTCAGAACCGCTGGGGTCGCCCAATATTCAGAATTCAACCTATTTTAGGCTCAAGTTTACGAAAAATGCCCCCAAATCAGTAACATTTACGTCAATTTCAAAGCAAATTTGTGCCACTTTCGTAACTTTTTTGATCATTTTTCGCAAAAAAATTAATGCCCCGGTAAACAATAAAATATTTATTCTATAGCTTTCTTACAAAATGAATTCCATTAATTATCCGTTGATGACAAAGGAAAACAACATTGCTTCATCTATTAAATAATTCCTCAACGTATTATCCATTAACATCATGCGGTATCCATCTTGTGAAGTTAGGAAGTCGCGATCGTGTACTAAAAGTAAAACCGCAACCATATCAAAATTTAAGATACGGAAAATTTTCACAACTGTAGTGTTTTTACACAGTATACATGGTGTACAAAGATTGGCTTCTAACAGAATTTTAATTGTCTGACAGATAAAGGGATTTACACCTGTGTTGGTTTAAATGGCTGCGGGGCATGATTAACAAACCCAAGTGCCGTTATAGGGTACTAAAGTTACACATCATTGAACAAACAAAGCTGTGAAATTCATGTTGACAGTCAAATTGGGAATGTACTCTCAATTAAATTTATAAATTAAACTTATAAAGTTTTAATATGATTTCAGTTCTTTACTGTTGCTTGATTTATACATTCAATGGTCATTTGCGTGTTTTAGCAAATCCCTGGAGAAGAAAAATAAAAATGGCGGACATCGAAGTAATTGTCGTCCACCGGTAAATAATGTCTAAATAAAATTTATTAGGAATGTGTCAAAGTTGTTCTGAAATCGGAATTACTATTCTTTGGTCTCGGGTATTTACCGAATTATAGCTGTAAAATAATAACGTATTTCCGTGTTATTTATGCCTCTGATTTAACAACAGTGTGAAACTACGAAGGCATTGAACAGGCAAGTTGGAGAAAAATAAGTAGTAACACAATTCAAAGAAGTTTTAGCAACATTTTTTTTAAAAACTTTATTTAAATGCTGTACTCATTAAAATACCTGTTTATTTTCTTGATACGTTCATGTCACGGTAACCCCGGTAATTTTAGGGGTTTACCTGATACGTCGTATCTGCGTGAATCTTTAGAAGACGGGAAACAAAGCCTCGTCCTATATAGTAAGTTCGACCTATCTTAGGATTTTTCAAAAATTAAGGCTGAAAATGAGCCTTTCGACCTATATACCCCATCGACCTATAATCCCAAAATTACAGTACATGTAAATGAAACCTTGGCATATTTCATTTTTAAAATTCAAACTATAACATTATTAGATATTCAAGTTGTGCGATAATCTGTACTTTTCTTAAAAAGGTTTCTATATACTGGAAAAACAGTTGTGTAACATAGGACATTGAACAGTTGGTTTTTTTTACAGAAATATAGTCATTCAATACAAAATGACCAGATTTTCATCTCTTTGTCTTATTCAGAGCATAAAAAGAGACCAGAAAGATGCAGTGGTAACGTTCATGAATGCAAATCACGCATCACTGTTTGCTGAGAAATACAACAGGTAATATTTGTCTGTTCTGTAATCATTATGTCTGTCAAAATTTCAGGAAATAAAATTCAAAAAATCATTTAGAGAAAAGTTAATATATCAAGTTATCAACTACTTTTTATCGTAGGACACTTCTGGACTTGTCAACAATCCTCGTGTCACTGATAAATTACTAAAATAAACTACCCATAAGAGATCTGATTGTGAAAGGTTAGGCGGATTGAACATAAAAGAGCATCAGGGGATGGATCCATATCAAATTCATCGAGGACAGCTTCTTCTAGTAGGATACAGAGCCAGGATTAAACATCACTATCTTCCTAGGAATTCTGAAGTTCTAACAACTAACTTCGGTCTAATTGTCATTCAGTTAGTTAGGGGATATTTGTTACTGTAGAAAGTCAACTTGAAGTCAAGTTGAAAGTTGTACATAATCATGTAGTTGATTTCATTCAAATATTTAGCTTCATTGTATGTATTACTCTATCTAAAGATACCTTAAAGACAACAATACATATTTTTAAAAAAAGATTTCACATGACAAGGTGGCACATGTTAAGAAACATCATTTATTTGAACATCGTTTTATAATTTGAACATTGAGTTTTATCGATAGCTGCTGAATATACCTTATCCAACATAACTGATAAATTTTGACACATCCACCACCCCATTCCCGTTTGTTAGAACATCTATGAAACTTTTGAAGTATAATGTCAAGGAATATACTCAGATATAATGAAATCCTAACGCTCTGGTTTAACTTTATTTTGAGAAAACGTGAGGAGGCACAGGAGTAGATTACCAGTTAATTTTCTTCAATAATATTTTCATTGTTAAGTAGGCTTAATTACTAAAAAGGGGAAATTTATGTACAGCATACCGGGAAAAGTTGCTACTGTAAAATCACATATTTTTGTGGGGTCAGATTTTCGTGGTTCTAATAAAAACTCTTGGTTCATGGGGATTTGATATTCATGGATGAGAATTGTTGAGTAGTTATGTGTGTAACATTTTACATTCCTTGTGGACATGAATTCATGGGTCTCTTCATACCTCAAAAACAACAAAAATTAAAACCATGAAAATTTGTGATTTCTCAGTATAACTCGAAAATTATAACAAGGTGAAGATATTTTTTTAGCCCCATTCAGAAATGCTAAAACTATTCATTGTGAAGTGGCAAATAGTTATTTATCACATTGTAATTTAACCCTTGTTGATGAATTACTTGCAGACATTTAAATGTTATTTTTTGAAACAGACACAACCCCTTGATAAATATTCTTAATTTTTAATATTTCAAGAGGACTGAATTTAAAAAGCCAGAGAGAAACGCAGCAGTTTTATGAAGTTAAATTGATGTGTAAAGTTTAATGCATATAATAATAGGAAAAATAGTTTCCTTTAAAAAGATTTATATTGAGTGTAATTTTTTTAATTTTAAGAAATCAGAATTTAAGACTTAACCATGTTAACTAGCACTTCTTTAAAATAATAGATTTAAGAATGTTTCTTTAAAAAATTGTTTTCTCTGATAAGCTTATCATGCTCAATAAACATTTATTTATTTACATAAAATCCAAAAAAAAAAAAAAATGAAAGGGAAAAACTAAAAACAATTTCAGAACAATTCTAAAAGTGATGGGAATTTTTTTAACATCATTCATTTCAGCTAAATTTAAGAAAGAAGTTTTATTTGGGTACTAGAGTGTAATCATTATGCAGAGAGAAAGTCAAATATTGAATGAGTTAAATAATGTTAGTTTGATAATATTTTAAAAATGTTAAAGATCTTAATACCTAAGCTGTAAGTAAAATAATACTGTTGGATGAGAAATTTCATGCCAGTTTGCCCAAGGTTCATCATTTTCAATAAAACTTTATTCTAAAGTAATGCAGGAGTTGAAAATTTGTAAATGAAAAATTGATGAGTGTTTTTTCTTTTGGCTTTTGTGGGTTCCTTTCAAGTTTTAAAGAAAAATGAAAAATTATCAGATTTCCTAACATGCGAGACTAAATAGGGAACTGTGTTGTGCTTTTGCTTAGTTACATAAAGCAAGCTTTTGGAAAAAAAAACCACTTAAAATATTCATTGTAGAAATGCAAATGAGTTAAAAAAAAATAGATAGATTCCTCAATGTTTCCAGGTGTATTTTTGTTTGTAGGAATATGAAAGTAGAAGTTTTGATTCCATTTTGCAGCAACATTAGATTTATGTAGAAGTTCTTTTTTAAATAGGATGAAAGGCTGTATTAAAAATCAAGATTAATTTTTATACTTGAAAGACTGTTGCAGGATATTGTGCCATATTCTCAATTACTTAGGAGAAATAACATTTTAGTGGGTTCCTTTTTATGAGAAAAGTCTGTCAGATAGTTATACATATTTATTTGGGCCAAAATAAAATTATAGTTTGTTTGGAATTGCCTCCCGCCTCATTGAAATGCCCCCCTCCTGAAAAAAATTTATTGACCAAAAGTAGGAAGATTTTTTTTAAATTTAATCAATTTTTTTCCCCATTACATGTATCACACGCACCATACAAAACACTGAAATGTAGTGTCAGATCTATGTAAAATCAGGGATTTTTGTTCTGAGATTTTTATCAAAAATTTATAATTTATCTTCAATTAAAAAAAAAAAAATAATTTCCCTCCCTCCCTCCTGTGTCTGAAACCCTCCAGGCGGCAATTCCAAACAAACAATTTTTTAAGGATGGCCTTGTACCTTGTCAGAGTGAAATCTTCAAATTATGATTCATTAGTCAACCTAAATTTAGTATACCCCTTAAAAATCTTTAAGCACACATACACACACTGCCAACTCCTTTGTAAATGATTGCCGCACCAGAAATTTATGTTGAAACCTTCAAAAAGCCAAATTTGGAATTATTACAAGTTTTAAATCGAGATATTTGATGGATTTACATGTATGAAAGGATGTTGATATCACAGATAAATGAACTATTGTTAAACAGAAAAATATTTTTAAAGTGACACATGAACTAAATGGAAATAGAGGCTTCTAGAGGATTTGCTATTGAATAAACTATGAAGAAGAAATATGCAATGGACACACTGTGTTTCTTGTGATAAGGATTTTTCTCTATGCCTTAAAAGAATCAATGAAGATATTAGATGGATGAAACTTTTAATGGAGTTAATTGTGTGAGACTCATCTATCCTTTTTTTAGAAACTGGTTTTTCCCAATTGTGAATGCCAGGAAATAATGGAGAGAGTACATAATACGAGAACAATGCGTTAGATTCATCAATTTATACTACTATTAAATGTTGCTATACATTAACTTTACATGCAGAATTAAAACACGCACTCTACACAAACGCATGAAAACTTTATCCTTGATAAAAACAAAGCATCCAAAAAAAATTCTAACAAGATATTTACTACTGATCATAAATGAAGGTATAAAGGAGAAAACCTTTTGCCTTCTTTAATCTTTATTTAATTAGTTGAGACTTCGTTAAAAGAATTAATTTTCCACAATTTTTTTTTTTGGTTATATGATCATGATATCACATACCATAATGAATTCAATGTTAAGAATGAATTAAAACTTTTATGACTGTTGATATTATTGTTATGTGACTCTAAGTGGCGAATCATGTTTACCATATCTATTAAGATCTCGTTTATGACTGTTGTCATCCAAATATTATTTTTGTGAAAAATTTAGATACATTTTACATAGGAACTGGAAACGTAGTCATAATTGGGAATTTCTTTTCCATGAGTGTAAGCTATTATCATTAAACCATAAAGTTGTTAAGAAAATAAAATACCCATGCATAACTTGATTGTCAATTGTTATTAATGTTTGTTTTTATTTTTTAAGAATGCAGAAACTTTATTTTTTATATCTTTGTTATTGTTATATCTTTGTTATTATTATTTTTTAAAATTTGTGTGGTTTTTCACACTATTAATGGTGCTACTGTATACAAATTTGTATTTTTAAAGAAATATTTTGTGATTTTATTAAGTATTGTATCTGCATTCTTTGAATGCTATTTTTCATCAGATCATCCATGTTCAGAAATATTTTTTTGATAATGTACTTAATGACTATAATCATTTTGCATTATTTTCCTACTGTATTACTTATTTTTTAGGTAAAGTTGATCTTTTCACATATATGTGATTGTTATTGTCTATATATTGGTTACACATACAGCAGCAGTGTACAGTAGTTATGGTTTGTGACTATTTGCTTTGATGTTTGAAAATTGCAGTTATAATGTTTAATGTGTTCTAACTATTTATTTGTTTCAGGTGCTATATATACACATTGTATATCAATTTGATTTTTTTTATCAACTAGAGCATTTGGCATTTAGGTAAGACATTGCACTAAAGGCTTATATTTTACATGATGAAAAAAAATTCAGAAAGTCCGCTAAAAATTGAAGGTAAGTGTTTACTGTAAATTGATTTTATTTGCATGATAATATGTAATACATATATTTAACACAAATATAGAGTAATAAAGATTTTTTTCTTGCTTAAATTACAAAATAAATTTCTGACCAAAATAAGCTGTCACAAAAATTTGATGATCAACAGCAAGTTTAGTTGTACATTTTCATAAAACATCTTCTTTAGATTTCATGCAAGTTTTTAATTAAAGAAGACAGACTTGAAGACAGAGCTGCTAAGTGAATGCAACATTTAAAAAAAAAAAGGTTTTTACGTTTTGAATTGTCGCCCGCATATGGCACATTTTTAAATACACGTACATGGAGTCAGAATTTCTTGTTATGTCACAGTAAGTGATGGCACAAAAAGTATACCCACTGTTCCCTCCCAAGAACAAATGATTGCTGGTTGTATATTGGATAATAATTTACAAAACAAACATTTGAAGTATTTTACAGTGAAAAAGTTTCTTTTACAGAAATTAAAAGGATGTTTTTGGAAAACTCTTAAAATTTAAGATTATTGGGAGCCTTGCAGACTTGAAGACAGAGCTGCTAAATGAATGCTAAAAGGTACTGAAATATTTTTAAATATCACTCCACACTCAAATGATTCTAGTTGAAATTAAAAATTTTACACTCTCTAGTTGAAATTAATTTTACAAGTATCAACATTCTTAGATTGCCTTAAATAAAAAAATAGAAATATTAGGTAAAAGGTAAGTTTTCTTGGAGAAATATACTTAAACCCGTTATGTAGCTAGTTCGAATTGAACACACTTTGTTAATAGAAACAGATTGGACAACAGAAGGTGCCTATCTTCATTTTTTTTCCCTTTCTGTTTTAGTCTTCAAAATGAAGGTTAACTAAATTATAGATAACAGATAAGACCAGATGTGAAGATGATATAACCCACATGTATTTAAGGTAAGCCTGAGAAAGACGGAAAGAGATTAGTCTGCAGAAAATAAGTTTATAATGGTTAGATATTTTGTCGTTAACTTTTTTTCTCAAGCTAAAAAGGGATGTTAAAGAGATTATTAAAAAAAATAAGTGAGAAAAAATACTCATGTTGAGGATTGCACAATGGTCAACAAATACTTGTATTGTTTTATAATTTGATTAAGATTTTTAAATATTTTTAATATTTTTGGCATGTTTGATCTGATGATAATGGCAATAAGATAATAATCCAAGTTTGTTTTTCAGGGTTTAATACTGATAGTCCTATAAGGCTTTCTTTTTTAAGTAAGCATATTTGACCTATCAAAATTTATAGTTGTATCACATGAAGGAAAATTATTTACCTTGATTGCCCTCAAATGAAGAGCCCTTTTAAGGACCTATTGAAATATAGTTCTGACATAATGAATTGTTGAATTCCTAGAAAGAAACTGAAATTCATTAAAAAAAAATTATGGAAATCATTGAATTCATTTGATCGCTTGCTTTGCATCCATGAAATTCTTGACTCATGTTTAGATGCAATCATCTTTGCTAGCTAACGGTTTTTGATATGCTACTCTCCTCATTAACCCTTGGCTAGCGAAGATGAGATGCCATCAGTTTTTATGGAAGGGTGCTTTTGTACTTAGTACTTTTGACCATTAAATAGGGATGACGTCATGTGCATACCAGTACAGTAGCTTCATCTGTATGATTTCATGCAAAGGACCGTCTCTTTGCCCTTCACTGTGATATTTTAATTGCATTAAGATCAATTTCATACATGTAGAACAAAAAGCTCTTATCTTTGGGTAATTTGAATTTTTATAAACAGTTATTGAATATTAAAAAATACATAATATGTTTTGCTAAATTAAATTCAAATTAATGAATCTCAAAATTCATATTTGCAATTTTTTTAAATTTGATTTTCTCATTTGTAAAAGCTGTTATAATATTTTTCTAAAACTTTTGATAAGGAATGATAATTTTTCTGTAAACAAATTTAAGATTTTAAACCATGATGGAAGTTACAAATTTATTTAAAAGGGGTGTAAATTGCGAAAACAATCAGTAACTTTTGTTAATATTTTGATAGATTTGTTTTTGCCAAATTAATGCAGTTTAAAATGGGAGGTAAACGACGACAATTTTATAAAATATCCATATTTTTAGCTCTACTGGTCAGAGACCAGAAGAGCTTATGCGATAGTAATGCGTCCGTCGTCCGTCCGTCTGTCTGTCTGTCTGTCTGTAAACAATCTTTCAAAATGCTACTCCTCCTACAGTTTTGGTCTGATTTCGATATAATGGCACACAAGTAGACTTTTAATTCTGTGTTAATTAACGGTGTTTTGTTACTAAAAATAGAAATTTCTGTTAAATTGTTTCAAAATGCTACTCCTCCTACAGTTTTGGTCTGATTTCAATATAACTTGGCACATTTACACTAAGATGCATAATTCTGTGTATCGGTTTTTGATTTCGATGAACGGTGTTGCCGTGGTTACTAAAAATAGAAATTTCTGTGAAATTCTTTCAAAATGCTACTCCTCCTACAGTTTTGGTCTGATTTATTATAATTTGGCACACAAGTAGACTACACTAAGATACATAATTCTGTATATCGGTTTTTGATTTCGATTAACAGTGTTGCCGTTGTTACAATTTCTATGAAATTCTTTCAAAATGCTACTCCTCCTACTTTTTTATATTTTAGATACACTAAGATACATAATTCTGTTTTCAGTTTTTGATTTTGCTAAAAATAGAAAATTCAATTCTTTCAAAATGCTACTCCTTACATGGTCTGATTTCAATATAACTTGGCACATAAGTTACTATACGTAATTCTGTTTAATTTCGATGAACGGTGTTGCCATGGTAACTAAAAATAGAAATTTCTGTTCAAAAATCTCAAAATGCTACTCCTCCTGCAGTTTAAGTCTGATTATAATATAATTCCTTTGCTATAAGTACAAACCATTTTTCTGGTTATTTTATCAAAATTAATTTTAACGAATTCAACAGTTCATGGATTCAAAATATATTTCAACAGTCCTTAATGATCTTCCACACCATTGATGCATCATATTGGGTATTGTGTTTAGAAACTCGGTTGTTTAGGCATGTTTATCTGTGTTACTTGTTTTCCATTTGAAGTATTTGAGTTCTTTGTAGATCGCCAGTTGTAAGGATAGCTGCAGTAATATAGCCCTCTCCATTTTCCCCCCGAAAATATCGGATTAAAAGATATTGGAGAGGGCAGCATGATTGCAGCTATTGTAAGGGCATCTATCTGCTCAGTATCATGCTAGCGTTATGTTTTAAATACGTCATCCTTGCAATGCTAGGGGGTCGTGAGTCAACTCGTTCACCACGGCAAAGTGTCGACTCAAGACCCCTGGTATTGTAGGGATATATAAGAGCTCCTTACTTTGATTTTTATACAGAGATCAGCTGTTATGGTACCTACAACATCTGTCATACTAGCCCTATATTTTAAGTCACTACTATATAGATTGATTGTTTGACCGTAAGTTGTTTCGAGAGTTTGTTTTTTCACTCATATAGAGATGTCAACACATGCTTGTGAAGGGAATTAAATATAGAAAGTCAGTTGTTTGGGAACCTATCTGATTTTGTATTTGAACTATTAGAGTTCCATGCAGACTGCTTTATAGAGGGTCAGTTGATGGGCACCTGTCTCTGTTACTAGTTTTCTTTGTGAATTATTAGAGTCTAGTATAGACGGTCAGGTGTAACTTTACTAATGATACTAATGTTCTATTGGAAGTATTTGAGTCCTACATTATATAGTATAGAGGATTGCTTGATGGGCACCTGTCTCTGTTATAAGTTTCTTTGTGAAGTATTTGACTCTAGTATAGATGGTCAGGTGTAACGTTACCAATGATACTAATGTTCTATTGGAAGTATTTGAGTCCTACATTATATAGTATAGAGAGTCAGTTGATGGGCACCTGTCTCTGTTACTAGTTGTGTTTGTGAAGAATTTAATTTCAGTGTAAGTAGCCAGCTGTAAGGGGTCCAATGATGCTAGTTTTCTGTTGGAAGTTTTAGAATCGTACATCATGGGGGTCAATTGCTAGTGCATGTAATTTTGATTCTATTGTTATTTTATTGGAAGTTTTTATATATGTTTCATTTGATTCAAATAATTTTTTTTGAAGACCTCAAATCTGTATTGTCTGTTCTAGTGAAGATGATTCTGGCGTACCAATGATAAATTTATGTATCTACCCTCTTACCTTCTAACAAGACAAGTACTACTGTGTCCATTTCACGTTGGTAGTGATCTCCGGGGGAGCAGTTTGCTATGACTTAAAAAATTTCTATTGTGTTTATAAGGGATATTGGCATCTTCCTTTTAGAAATTACTTGTTCCGTGAGGTTTTTTTTCTGTTGTCCAAAACTGCTAGAAGGTTTTCTTTTTTTATCATTTGATGTTAAAGTAGTATGGTTTGTTGGCAATAGTTTGTTGGGTTTTGAGGTTTTTTTAGGGGTTTCAATTTTCAAAGATTTTAATTGTCAAACGCATTTTGGTCTATTCCTCATTTTGGATCTCTAATTTAGTGGTTCGTTCAACTTTAAAATCTTTCTTTAAGTGCGACTGTTCATTTGACTTGTCTTTGAGGGTGTTCGTAAAATGAAAAAAAAATTGTTGCTATGATTAATAAATAATTTGATTTACAGAAACCAGCGGTGGAATAATTCATCGATTTTAATGTGCCAATCCATTTCCTTTTGTATACAATTGTTGATATTATAATGGAACAATGTGCCAAATCCATTTACTTTTTATACACAGTTGTTGATATTTTGTTGGAACTTTTTTCTTATTGTTGATATGTAATATTCATTTGAAACAATAAAATGCATAATTGAACAGATAAACAATTGTTTTGCTTTGTATGTGTGCAAGAAAAAACAGAATTCCGGGAAAATTAGCATGATTAGGGCGAACTACGTACACATACCATGTTGAATCTATATTTTTAATTATGAATTTCTGTAAGAATCAACATAGCAATGTTGCTGGTTATACATAATAAAGTGCAAGTTGGTGCTGCGTCAACATAAAAGATTTCTTTACACAGGTTTCTGTCTGTGATTTAGAAAGTGAAAATAATACATGCGTGAATTTTTAATGAAAAAAAAAAGCTTTCCCATTTCCCATAAAGTGATTTGACCTTCAACTTTCTCCCTGGAAATGAACGAAGATGGCACGCAGCAATCACGTCCAAGCGTGCTTCATACGACGGCATCCAATGGATGCCCCTCCTGACGGATAGAACTCGACGTCCGCCATGGAATCGTCAAGGTAAGATCGTATTTCATGGTCCAAGTTCAATACGGAAGTATTTCATGAATCAATTTTTATGTTGAGGATTAATTTTGTTGTCTTGATTAGAATTTTGATATAATTATGTAGATTATAAATTACTGTGGCTCTCGATGGTTATATACTGGATGATATTTAGCCAAGAAATCTCCCGGGGCTCATAAGAACTAAGAAGGGGTCGTACATTTTCTACATGTTGCACATTTCAGAGTACACTGAGCGCAAAACTTCGATGAGTTGTATTTAAGAATTTGAGAATTACACACAAAAAGGGAAAATACAGCAAGAATAAGTAATTAAAAATGATTTATATTTGATCCATTGTATTTCACGAGAAATTTATAACCATGCTCTTTTTAGTATAAATAAATATATTTCATAAATTGAATCGAACAATTTGGGCTTTTCTTTGCAGAGGAAATATTGTCGCCAAATAATGATAACTAAACATATTTAAGGATACATCTTGTATTATTGCAGATCCATTGTAGGCATAGACATACCGTCATAAATTCATTTTGTTCAATATAACCATGACATGTCTCAAAAAGAAATTATGATTAAAGAACACTTTCAGTATGTAAATCATTTTTAATCAATATTCATGCAGGTATTGATTTTTTTCTATATAGATCAGCATTTAAACTATTTGCATAATTATTTCTTAATGAAAATTCTTTGTTTGATCATCCTAATTTGCCTTTTTATAAATCTTCGAATCTTCAGAAGAATTTTTAAGGTAATTCAATCAAAGGTAGATAACTGCGATGTTCTTACTAAAATCAAAATACGCGAACAGTAGATTTTTGAAACGGACAATATTTGACACTGTTGTTGTAAAGGGCGCGTTTGATTGGCTGAAATATGACCGATTTTCCCCATCATGTTTACCAAGTTCCATGTCCACGTGAAAAGGGGATGTTTTCATGAGTTCATATATAAACAAGCGGCCTTCAGATTTCATTAAGCGTCTGAAACTCGAAGAAGTAACATTGGAAAAAGTTTTAATTTAGGAATACATTATTGTATAATACAAAGGTAAGTTTAAGTTTTACTATTAAAGTGAAATAGAATCTAAAGCATTTTATATTTGGGACTGGGTCTGTTGTTTAGGCCTATATTGAAAATTCTATGTATAACAGTATAACGGTAAAATGTTGGGTTTCCTGCTAGATGTATTTTATCAAAAATATTCTTAATCAGTTTGTGTTAATTTGTCTGGGAATATTTTCTTTTCAAGCTTAAGAAATGTACATTTAAGTCACTGTCTTTTGTCTGTCCAATACACAAGTTTATTGTGACCCAGATCTATGTTACCGTAATCAGCTGTTCGGCTGATAAAGAAAGGTGAAAATGGAAATCGTGACACAGTGTTAGACCTTGTCTAGAATGTTCATTAGTGATAAAAAATGAGCCAATACGCATTTTATAATATGAATAACCGATGGAAAATAGGCCTGGCCGAAAAAAATATTGGTAAACAGATACTGACACGCATGCGCATATTATCCAATGACGAGTGCATGATCAAAACATGCACATGTAATGTAATGATTATGAGGTCAGCTTTAAAAAACAGAGGTATCGTCGTGTAACGCTCAGTGTCTTCACTGCCTTATCGTAAATTACACGCAATACGTACGTGAATGATAAGAAACAGTAATGTAACAGAAAAATGTGAAAAATAAAAAAAATACATCCGTTTTAGAATCGAGAAGATCATAACGATCGATTTCCTAATTTGGGTATTTTATCTTTGCAGTAACCATGTTGGACAACGAAATGTTGGTGGATAGACATCCAGGTCACGACCTGTGCAATCCATTCGAGGTTTCCTCATCCTTGGCAATGCCCAGCATGCCCAAAGGGGGCGTTCTGGTCAGGGTGAGTACTGGTACTTATTTAAAAAGTCACGTGATCAGGATATTGGAAAAAAAATTAAAAATATGTATATTGTGGAAAAAGTAAGATAATGAGATATTAATATATTCTACCTCATCTAACAGATACAGTGCTTGGGAGCTTGCTCACCAGAAGGGCAGATAAAGAGAAAGGATTTACACCCCATACTGCCAGGCATTGAAGTGGCTGGAGTAGTACAAGATGTGTGCCCCTCAATACCCAACAGAAACTTCAACACAGGGGACAGGGTCATTCTATATCTGGATGAAGACTTTGCAGAGACTGGTTATCAGGAGTACATAGCTGTTGATGATACTGAGAAATGTATTCAAATCCCAGACTCCATACCCCTAGAAGTAGCGGCTATGTTACCCGGAAGCGCCCTGACAGCGTACAGTGCAGTAATGAAAGCCATACCACACATAGAAAAACTACAGGAGGTTAAATGTAAGCATATTTTTGAAGAAAAATATAAATGGCAGTTTTACGAATTCTACTGTTAACAATTAAAAGGTTATTATTTTGCAAAACTAAAATATGTCTTCTGTTTTTACAGCTGGAATCAATGTCCTTATTGTTGGTGCTGGTGGCATAGGACTTTGGGCAGTGCAGCTGGCCAATTACATGCTCTCCCAATTCAGTCAGACCAACATCAAATTATTTGTATCAGACAACAGTATTGACAAACTGCTGACAGCACTAGACCACGGCTGTTATGACGTCATTCACTGGAATGAAGAAGATCACGAGCAATTTATCATAGAGCGAACTCTGGAAGCCTGCAAAGGAGGAGTAGATGTAGTCATTGATTTTGTCAGCTCTCCAAGAACAGTGCACAGAACTCTCAAGGTCCTTAATAGAGTGAGTACATTTCAGCTGTCTTGAAAGTTTTCTGTATGAAAAGCCCAGCCACTCTATATAGATTAATTATTTGATACTGGATGAATGTAATTGATCTTAAATGAATTCATCTGTTACTTTATAGGAGGGTTTAATATTGGTTGGAGGAAACACAATGTCAGAAGTTAGCATCAACTTGAATGTGTTAGCAGCCAAGCAGCAGAGTATAGTAGGAATACCAAAAGGGTCCCTCAAACTTCTGCTGGAATTGGTTGACCTTGTAGCAGAAAAGAAGGTTAGTACATTATATTGGTATATAGTCCCTAGAAATGTGAAAGGAGAGGACAGATAAGTTTTCTAATGCATAAATTTTCAAAATTTTAAGTGTCATTAAACCGTCTTTTGTGAATTTTCACAGGTCAAACCACCCTTGTTTTCAATTCACAATGTTGAAGATGCAAACCAAGTTTTTGAAGACCTTTACCAAAGTCGGATAACTGGGCGAGCTATACTCAAGATCAACCATTCTCAAACAGTTGACAATTGAACTGCTATTTGTATTGTCAGTGTGCCAAATCGGTAAAACAAGAAAGCAAGATGGGATGATTATATCATCTGCATAAATATGGCAATGCTGATATGCAATATTTGGCCATGTCCCTGAATTCAGAGTTTTCTACCAAATCCTGGAAGACTTGAATTCCGGATGCCACAAGTTCATCCAATCCATGATCTGAATAAGTAAATGGTGCTCCGTGTAAAGTGCTTGATGATTGGAGAAATCCGATGGTCACTTGATGATCTGAACAAGAACTATAGTGCTATTCCCGCAATTCTGTGCCCTTAGTGTTCAATGACGAGTGTTTATTACTTTGCAAAAAGGACATGAATACCATAGACTCGATGTACTTTGCTTGAGTATGTGTGACATCATTGACATCCATATAGTACGATAGCTTGTTAAACATGTTCTAGGGCAACTTTAGAGTGCTGTTTTGAAAAAAACAGTTCTGACATTTACTTTATAATTGTTGTCCTTTCTCGTTGAGGCATTATTTATTAGTTGCATCAAATGTGATATTATATGTGATCCAGAAAGTGCTAAGTGGTAGAGTTCTGAATGTGTATGTGAATGGTGTACGTGCGAAATGAGAATTGTTTTTGTTACAGCAAATTACTGATGTATGATTTTTATACTTATTAAAATTCATGAACCTAAACAGAGACTAATTTATGAATCTGGATCAGGATGGTCTTAATTATTGGCAGACTTAGCCCTATGGCCATGGTAAATGTTGTTGACAATCCAAACACGGGAGAGACAGATTGACTTTGTCAAGAGGACCCTAGCGTTTGTTTTTGTGCAGAGCATTTAAAGTGCCAGATTAAAACTTAACTGCGTAATTCCTTAGTCAGGAGTCAAGGACTTGTCGTGCTGTTTTCCTTCCAAATTAAAGCCCCAAATATAACTTTTCGATATAATAAACGTAGGTCTATAATAATGAACAAGAACCAATAAGGTAAATAAGACCAACGATGTGTGTGTACGATAAGCACATCTATAATAATGAACAAGAATGCACACAATAAGGTGAATAAGACATATTACAACGATATAAACACAGCTTTTCAGAATCTGTGAACGACCCAACACTTGTTAACTGACCACCTGAAAAAACCTGTAAATAACTTAGAAATAGAAAATAGTACTTGCAAATTATTAAAGTGACATAAAACGCCAGTACTGGCAATTTAAAAACGATAGCAGTAGTCAGAAAAAGAATTTCATTTGCTTGACACAGGAAGGATGATGTATATGTGGGAACCTAGAAAATCACTCAAGTGAAGCAATCGTACAACAATATTTAGCTATTTTCTTCACCTTGCTTACCTGATAATATATATATGTCTAAGAAGACCTTTCTAAATATCAAGAAATCAAGAAAATATTCACTGAACGACCCAACACTTGACCACAATAAAAATATATACTGGTCTTAGTTGTATATTTTTTTTTTTTTTTTTTTTTTTGTTAAACAGAACAAGGGCTTTATGGCATTTACCAAAAACGTGGCACAGTGGTTAAAAAGTCTGGTCTAGAGTCGCAAAGTAAGGATCCTTACGCCGTAGGTTCAAACACACTGCAGGGTGTGGAGACCCTTCCGGATGAGACCGTAGAACCGAGGTCCCATGTCGTAGTAGGCATTGACAATAAAAAGATCCCTTTAGCACTACTCAATGACCCGAAGTGCCGAGTTCGAGTATAGCTATTAATTTGCAGTCCTCCACCGGCAAGTAGTGGCATCTCCATATGAGCAAGATGAGTGAAACATTCTCGAGAGGGACGTTAAACAATAAAAAGCCCTTGAAGTATTAATTTACACCACTGTTGGTTAATCACAGCGAGATTCGAAGAGACTAAAACTTTTGGTCTAGCATCTCAAAGTACCATTAAGACACCAGCTAGACCACAAATTTTAGTCTCTACGGAATATCGCTGAGATTACACTTTTGGTATATTTATATTACAAGGAGACGAGTCACCTGCGTGGCTCAGTGGTTGCACTGTTGCTTTAGAGTCCCGGAGTAAGGAGTTGATCCTTACCTCTATGGTTTGAATCTTACTGAGGGACAGGAGACCAATTATTTGGATGAAAATAAAAAAAAAAAACCGAGGCCTCATGTTGCGTGTGTTGGCACGAAAAAAAGAACCTAATTATACTGCTCAAAGGTCTTAAGTGCTGAGTAAAGGTCTAAAATGTGCAGCCCTCCACCTATTCTCTATTGAGAAGTTGATTGATGGCTCGTTTTAAAACGAGCCATCAATCAACTTTTCAATAGGGAATACCCTTCACCGGCAAATGGAGACATATGTCAACATGAGTGAAAATTTCTCAAATGAACTTATAACAACAAACAAACAAGAACAACGAAAACAAAAGTAAACGTATCAAACTTGACTCGTGCAACAATTTTTTTCATATGTATTCATACTCCGTTAAGAATGTTCATTGAATCAACAAGAATCCTGTGTTAGTTTTAAAAACATATAAAAATAACCTTATAATCTTCAAGAATGATCCATTCATGTACCTAGAGAAAAACAAGCCAGCTGGAGGGAAGCGGACGAATCGTAACAAGGTCACAGGCGTGACAAAAATGTCACGAGATGTTTAATTAGGGCAAGAAAAAAACGTAAACATTCGCTAAAACGAAAATCTGCTAGAATGAGTTAAGAGTCAAATTCAAAGGAGTGAGTCAGTAAAATATCGATTTCGAGTTGTTTACATGTGCAGACCATAACACGTACGTGACGAGAATCATTGCTTATACCAATAAAAAAAGAAACACAAAAAAGTACTTTAAAAGTGTACATCCTACTCCACTTAATTGATCTGTGTTTTTGCGTATAAAAAAGAGTGTATTTTTTTACGTTATCATGAAAACATAATATTATTTTCTTTATTTTCCATATGGTACATGCTATTATGTATACTTGGTTCTGTACATTGTATTTCAACATCTGTTGCATATCAACAATCACTTGGTTTTGTTTATCAAAAAAAATATGCGTAGCATAAGTATTACATAATGCAAAATTTGACTTATCCATTGAAATTATTTTATTTTAAGATTTTAATGAAACCCGAAAATAATTATATATTAAAAGTATTAATTTATACATGTAACAGCTAATGAATTATCAAAATTAAACAAAAGATGTAAGTTTTGTTTTAATGATTTTAAAGGACAATTTAAGTTACATGTTAGATATGCCCTTGAGCCAAGGCCTTGGAACATATACCACAGTTAATAAATTTATTTTGGCATCAGAGACAGCTGCTTTTCAATAATTAAAAGTGAAATTCGCGAAAAACTTTTCCTTGGCATTGGTCATTCGCAAAATTTATATTTTACAAAAAAAAACATTCTGATTGTGCACACAAGTACTCTAGATCTGAAATTGATGTTATAAAGCTGCTTGATTTTCTGGCTGACATTCATCTATGTAGTTTTTGGAGATCAAGTCTTCCAGCTATCTATTTCAATGGGTTCCAATTGCGCCCTGTTCTTATCCTATATTTTTCATTTATATGAAGCATATTGTATTGAAGAATTTCAGAAGGAAACACCTGCTGTGACCTTAAATTCATATATATTGATGATGTTTTATCAATTTTAAATAGTTACTTCCATTCATATGTCGATTCCATATATCTCAGAGAGCTTGAAATAAAAGATACGACAGAGCACGCATCATTTGTGAATATTTTTTTCTAGAAAAAGACATTAATGGTAACCTAATAACTAAACTTAAAATATTATAAACGTGATGAATTCAACATTCAATCATCAACTTCCCTATGTAGCAATATATCCTTATATCCTGGATAGGGTTAACATCTCTCAGTTGATTCGATACGCAAGGGCATATACTACATATAAACTGTTTTTGAAATGAGACAAGCTATTGATAAAAAGTTGACGAAACAAGGATATAAACAGTCTTTTTTGAAGTCATCGATACAATGACCAGGGTGCGGCTGGCATGTCAGCAAATACATGTACAACTTATTATTGAGCCAACTGCTAGCTGATGTTTTTCTTACTAATTTATATTAGTTCTTTATTGTCTTCATTTTTTTTTTTTAGTGTTTTCCCGAACATAACAGGTATGAGCGGTCTGCAGGGGATGCTCACTTCTCCAAAGCACCAGATCTCACATTTAATGTTTTAGAGGTCCTTTGCTTCTAATTAGTTTGAATGACTTTTGAGCTTGAATACCGTTCTTTATCTCCATTTAGTGTCCTTGACTCAGGGCTATAAAGTACGATGAAAAGGAGATGCTGGACGTGGTCAATGCACTATGTACCCATGCCTGGACATTTAAGGTGTAGTCTTGGCTATTTTAGAAAACTATCCATTTGGGTTTTGAGATAAAGAATAGTCAAGCTAAAATCTAATTTTCATTAAACCCATACTCATCAAAAGAAGAGCAAACTTGCACCTCTAAAACAGAGGTGGGATCAGATGTTCTGGAGGAGAAATATCCCCCTGTCGACCGGTTTTACCTGCCGTGTGTACTTTATTATTATCTGGCCAACGAAAAAAAAATCCATTTGGACAATTCAGTGTCTCAAAACTTGTCTTACAATAAGTATATGCAACGTCAGTCAGCATTGGGCTTATAATGAAAGATTGTACCTGCTGACAAGTCTTTTTAAGGACCATGAAACATGCTAAATGTTGACTTGAAGTTTTTCTATAGATATTCTTAATGATTTCATCAACTTGTCAGTAGAAAAATAGTTCGAAGGTAAAGCATGCTCCCGCATACCGAATCATTTGGACGACAAAAACATTTTCCAAGTACATGTGTATATTTCACGTTTTTATATTTATTTCACGTCAATATTTTAAGCTTAAAATTTTCAATTATAAACGTTTTAAGCAGTGCACTTTACTTAACCGTGACTTTAAAATTATCTTTATAATGTGTTAAATGTGCTGGCACGCTAACATTTTGACCTATTTATGAACAAAGCTTAAGGGGTTTAGTGTGTGCAGTTTATATAACGCCTCGATCTCTTTCTCTCCCCCTCACCAACTCACACACCCTATAATACACTCAGGGGAAAAGCAACAACGAGAAGTTTTTCCGATGTACCTCACAACAAAATACCATCTTGAAATGGCTTTATTTCTTTAGTTTTTTCCAGAAGGTCATTCACTCATACAAATACGATAAAATACCTGCAAGAATGCGGTCAAAACCAGACTGCTAGAACACTGACCCAAAGAACCTTACATAAACGTTTTTATATGTGACGTCATGTGATCGAGGAACCGGTCCCATGCTTTCTTTGTCTGCGAAACAAAAAAAATCAGCATCTGGCGCAACTGATGTCACTAATGCAGGTGTCTCTTATACTATTCCTTCCTTTTCAATCAAACGAAAGATCATGATCAATGCATTTTATACAATGATGAAAAATTCTGTTGATTATAAAATTGAATAAAAATATCAATGAAGTATTATATAACTTGTATCCATAATGATATTATCAAATTTATTCATGATTTAATTACTGTTATGTAAACGTGTACACTTTCAAAGTAATATTTTGGCCCTGTTTTATTTACAACAGTGCACATTGAATCATAGAGGGATTACTAATCGCGTGATTGGAACGTGTTCATATAAAAGAGACTTGTATTA